GTCGCTGACATGACCCAGGCCTCATGCGACGCTGCTCGCTCTCTCATGAACCCACCATGATGCGAAGCTACGGAGTAATCAAGCCGCGTCTCGCAAGTCTCTTCGGTTCGGCTGCGCCGCAGCAGCGGAGGCGCTCCAATGGACGGCTCGGGGACGCCGGGACTCGCCAGAACATGCATCGGAACGTGCATAGGAGCCAACGTTGTTGCCGGGATGTGATTGTGATTGAACGTCGTCGTCGCCGGGATGTGATTGAAGGATTTGTTGCGGCGGGTCGACACAGCTGGGTAGCGGGCAGCGGGGAGAATCGGTCCCGCCCAATGGCTCCAATCCGCGCTTGTCCACCGGTGGTGCCGTGGGGGCTTATTCGCTGTCGATCCTGCACCGTTGGATGCGTTGCATCCACCGTGAACACCGTTGGATCCCGCGTCGCTTGATGCTGTGCTGTTGGTACGGCTTGTCCATGGGCTTGTGTGGTGATCCCATGGGTTGGCGGCGTGAGTAGAAGTAGCCGTGGCGGGATGATCCCAAGGGTTGGCGGAGTGCCGTTTGTGGCGGAAGATGGGCGACACGGGAGCGTGCAACAAGTGCCAGAGGGATCCCACGCTCCATCCGCTCGTGCTGCTGCTGCTGCTGCTGCCGCTGCAGCCGCTGCTGGTAGTGGTGCTACTCCCACCGTGATGGAACGAAAACGAACCGCTGGTAACCGTTGCCGTTGCCGCTGCGTGAAGGCCGTGCGACCATGGGGAGCTAGCGCTGCGTTCCGCGACTCCCGGCGACTGCAGCGACCTCTCTGTCGAGTCGTTGGTACTATTGGCGCGCACAATCTGTCGTCCCCCGTCGAACCCGGCGGCGTGCGCGCCCGTGCTGTTCCGCCGGACATGATGGATTGCGGTGCTGCTGCTCCCCCGGCTCAGGCTCCGCAATCCACCCCCTCCGCTGCGCGGGCGTGCGTTGGCGGGCGCTGCGCAAACCTTGTTTCCCGCGCTTACTAGCGCCGCGCGGCCCATCGTATGCTCGACCGCGCGGAGGTTCCCGCCCACGAACGCGCCGAGAGCGCCGCCGCTGGTGTCGTCGCGCGGACGATGCGGGGACGGAGGGGGCCGCTCGCAGCGAGCGGGCGACGGCGAGGTGTTAGGATGATCTCTGTCAGTTGCCCTTTCAGAAGCGGGATTGCCGCGCCGTCCGCGCTGTCCGGCGGCCACGGCGCCGCTCACGCTACTGTTATCGCGGGGGGAAGCGGTCGAGATTCTTTTCGCCGCCGGCGCCGGTTCGCATGGACGGAACCCGCCGAAGTTGCATGCGACGCTGTCGCTGGAATCGCTCTTCGCAAACTCGCTCGTTTCGCCGCTTCTCCCGTCGCTCCCGTCGCTCTCGTCGCTGCACTCCGCGCTGACGAGCGGCGGCGCGACGGAATCATCATCGAGCTCTATCGAGTCGCTGCTTGCGACAATGTCGAGGGCCGGGGGGCGCCGGAAGGGCGGGCGGAGAGAAGGTAGTGACGAGGCCGCGGGCTGATGGACCTGGGGAGCGGAACTGGCCGATCGCCCTAAACTCCCAAACAGATTACCTCCTAGAACGGCGGCCATTTCCACGACACTCGAGCCTCGATGGTATCTCGGGAGCTACTTTTACTAACACTCGGGTTAAGTTCGCCGTTCGATAATGACCGCGGGAAATACTCTCTGCTTAGTCAGCTGCATCGAGAATCTCAGATTGAAGGTCGAAGAAATTGGGTGGCAAGTTTCCACTGTTACAAGCTAGAGATGAGGCTGAGTGCGGTAGTAATGATTGGACCGTTGGCCGTTTCCCGACCATCCTCTTTATGAAAACGGCTCCTAACATTGCGACCTTGGCGCGGAACTGAATAGTAACCAGCGCAGCTGCTCCTTTGACCGCGGCGTGCTGATGTGGCTCTTTTGAGAGACGGCACTCAGCTTGACTCCGCAAAATCGCAGATTCGGAGATAAGGAGCCCTTGCCCAGGCGTGCACTGCACTCCACCCACACCACAAGCTGCTTCTGCACCAAGGTCGACGGGCACTGTAGAGGAGTCAGGTCAGGTCAGTTCAGCTGGGTTCACAGAAATGGATCCCCGTTTAGCTCAACGAATTGGCGGTTGGCAGGGCAGGGCTCTGCGGCGAGCATGCTCCACCTCTGAGAATCCAGGAGAGCTTCTTTCTGCTCCAACGGCGGTTAGTGCCGTTGTGTACTACACCCTCTTTCTCGATAGACTGGCATATGTTATACTGACCGAGACGCTTAGTGTAGCCGTACCGGACCAAAGAAGGTCCTATCACATGCGTTACAGTGACAATTTGACCCAGGGCGTTTGGTCAAGGTTTTCTACGTTCTACAATGGTACTGTTGTTTTCAAAGCGGTCGGGACGGTTATTCAACGTTAATGGTTTTTTACGGCCCAAGGCGTGTTTCAAACCCTCGTGCGACTTTGCCCGCAACCGACTTATCTCACCAGCCCGCTACGTCCAAACACAGTAGCCAGTGCTTCCGCTGGTGAGAGAGGTGAGAAAGAGGGTGTACCGTCTCAAATAATCGCATTCCGACGTACTGAACCGCTCAGATGCTACCTCATCCCTCTGTGACCCTGTCACGGAAGTCTTTGCAGAGGACGGGGACAAGTGCGTGGGGGGCACAGTCAGTTAGCGGAATGGGGAAGGTGGGGGAACGAGGTGTTGTTCACATCGCACCACACCACACCACAAGCCAACTGAGGGGGGGAAGGCGGTGCTGCGCAGGATTGAGCGGAATGCATTCGCGCACGGTTTGTGGTTATTGATTCTTGATGCGAGATGTGGCGAGGATTGTCTTGTATGTGATCCACATCCTTATTCTGGGTTTGGTTGGGGGGAATGAGTGACAGACACGTGTGAAGTCGTCAGAATCATAGGATCACCATTATATGTGCAGAGACATTTCTCCTTCATTCCTGTGTTTGTACATTGTTTTTCGGGTGAAGTTTAGGTTTGGGAGAGCTCGAATGGGAAAATCGAAAGGAGGCCTGAAATAAGCAGGCATCCGAAAGGTTTCAACACAACACCCAGTGGACCCATAATGTCCGCGCCGAAAGTTTCACAGGCACGGTGCAGCTGGCCACAGTTTTGACCTAAAGGGGACCCTTTTCAGGACTCAGCAACTTACGTAAATTACCTGATTACAAAGTGCACATTCTCAGTCAATTTTTTCTCACCATGCATGGCTCCCTTGCCCCGCTGGAGGATAATGGGAGTTTCCTAACCGCCCATCCTTCGATCTTATAGCGTGGGCCCAAACGGGTTTGATCGCCTCGATCAGCCGCGATCAATACTTTCCAGGAAGCCTGGAGGCCAAATTCAGGCAATCAGGGGCAATCAGCTGATCGCGATCAGCTGATCGCCCCAACTCAATCAGACCCGATTTACCCCCCGATCATAGTCGATTCTCTTCGATCACCCACGAGCAATTGATCGTGGGTGATCGGGGACCACAACGATACTGACGACACGTTACACTATATTACAGGGATTCGTCAATCCCTCACGAAGATGTCCAGCCTGTACAGAACACCGTGGAATGGCACCCATTTCGCCATCCAATCATTCTCCTCGCTCCCAAGGAACATACAGCCTGTGTCGAACAATCTGATGGAATCCCACAACTTAGGCTCCAGACGGGAGTGGTTTTCACGATATTACTTGGATACAGAGAGTTTCGCCAGAAGCCGTCTGGTCGCCAGTCTCGCTAAGAATGCCACGAAAATACCAGGTAATTAAATATCGCTTGCTGAACAGCCGAGAAGAATCTTCTAAGAAAAAACATTAGGGATCGGGCGGCTCGGGCATTGCGATCACAAGCAACCCGATCAGATCCGCCCCGATCAGATCAGTCGCGATCAAACCCGTTTGGGCCCACGCCCTTACGCCGCTGGTGGAGATGTTGCGGGTGTTGGGCTTTGATGTGCTGTCAGCCTCAGCTCACCTGCCTCCTCGCCGCACATCACACACATGGACAGCACGAGTGGAATGATTATCATCATGTGTACAGCAGATGCTCAACATGCTAGGGCAGACTGGCTGACGGGATAAATATTATGCAAGGTGAAAGGCTGGTAGAATAGAAGTCCTGAATCATTGCTGTAACAAAATATGTAGTAGGACTATGAGTACGATATCATAACCCTATTTGAACAAAATTTTACAAAAATTGTAGTGCATTTCACAGCAGCTAGAGAAGTCACATTGAATCGATTAATCGGGCAGCAACCTAACAAACAACCACGACCAATTCCTTTTAATTCCACCATGAGAAGAAAAGTAACAGCACCGCCGTGCTTACTATATCAGGGAGAGAACAAATAATCTTCAGCACCAATTGCTCTACCACTAAAAAGTGGGTGATTAATCGCAGGGCGCCAGCTCTGGCACACACCACTTTCTAGAAAAAGTGAGGAGCTCGTAGGCTGTACAGATTGAACCTCCTCATCGTGACCACCGCGAATCTGCTCGCGTGTCGAAAATAGACTCATCATCGACTCTCCTTGCCGTCCTTCACCCCCGCTACTTTTGGGAAGCAAGCCGTCAGTAGATAAGCTCGAGATATCAATACATACGAGCGGATGATGCCTTGCTTCTCCACTCACTGCCTCCGTGGTTTGAAGCACTGGGCCTGATTGCATGCCCCTGCTGTTCACCTCCTCCACATGCCTCTGCCCTCCAGCAACAGGTGTTGCTGTAATCCCCACTGTCCTGCTCATCTCTCCTCTATGCCTGTGGGTGCTGTTTCCACCATTCTTGGAGGGCATCCAACTTCCACCGGTGTCCGCTTCCCTATGCTCCGGACTCCACGAATGCAGCCCACCCACCTTACACCACCCACTATCCGGCGACCGTACAATCATATCCAAAGCCTCCACACCACCTCCCACCATTTCCTGCTCTCTACTCCCCCTCCCCCGACCCTCGTCTGCTACGGCGCGACGATCCACCCAAAAGCCAGGCTCGGAACTCACACGGCGCATGCGCCTGCCACGTGTTTGCCGCGGCATGCGTGGGGGGCTGGGAGACTGCAAATATATCAGATCCTCTTGATGTTCGTCTCCACTCAGCTCCAGAGCTGGCTCATTTTTCACTACATTCTGTTTCGGTTCCTGTCTGCCAGTCCCCTGAACGCCAGGTGAGGCATGCGAGGCCAGGTCACATTCGGAAGCCGATGCTGCATGTGCCGTCCCCTTTCCTGCCCCGGCAATCTCAGCTGCTGCTGCCAGCTTCTGCACTGGCAGTTGCTGTGTTGGCAGTTGCTGCGTTGGCAGTTGCTGTGTTGGCAGTTGCTGCGTTGGCAGTTGCTGTGTTGGCAGTTGTCGTGTTGGCAGTTGCTGTGCTGGCAGTTGCAGTGCTGGCAGCTGCTGTGCTGGCAGCTGCTGTGTTGTCCGCTCCTGCGTTTGCAATTGCTGAGCTGGCAGCTTCTGCATTGGAAGCTTCTGCGCAGCTTCTGGCTGCGCCGACATTTCCGCCGACAGGTCCTGCAGTTGGGAGAAGGACATGGAGGAGCGGTGGAAGCGACGCGGGCCATTGTCGAGGCCGGAGAAGAGCCGATGCTCAGAGGCAGGCACAAAGTGGGGCGCACTCCCCTTGGGTCTAACAGTGACCAGACTTCCCACAGGGTCCGGGACAATGGGAATGCACCCTTCCGACAAGCTTCCGCAGGAATCGCCTCTCAGTGTCCTGCGTCTCCCAGGGTTCTTGAACGGCCCTTGCGATGCTGCTCTGCTTGCTCTCCCAGAGTCCTGCAGCGCCTCATTCGAGCCCTGGCGCGCTGGATGCGGCGGCGCTGCACCGTGTGTCATGGCCCCGTCAAGATGCAACGCTGCGAAATCATCATTAAGGGTGATGGAGTAATCGAGCGGCTCCGTCTCGTGCGTTCCTTCGGTCTGGCTGCGCCGCAGCAGCGGAGGCGCCGCGAGGGACGGCTCGGGGACGCTGGGACACGCCGGAACGCGCATTGGCGTCGATGCGCGGCCCGACACTTGATTCAACGTCCTCGACGACGGGAATGAGTTTAGGGATTTAATGCGGTGCGGCCGGGCAGCGGGGAGAATCGACCCCGGCCACAGGTGATGCTTCGGCGGCTTATTCGCCGTCGATCCTGCACCATTGGAACCGTCACGGTTCGATCCCGCGTCGCTTGGCGGCGTGCCGCTTGCAAATGGGCCAGTTCCCGGGCTCGCCGTGGGATGATCCCAAGGGTTGGCGGAGGGTCGTTTGGGGCGGAAGATAGGCGACACGGGAGCATGCAATGAGCGAAAAATGGACCCCACGCCCCATCCGCCCGCGCTGCTGCTGCTGCTGCTGTTTAGAGACCACAAGGGACTGCTGCCGCCGCATTTGCCGCTGCTACTGCTGCTGCCACCGTGATAGAATGAAAATGACCCGCCGGCCACCGTTGCCGCTTCAGCCGGGGAGCAAGGGCTGCGCTCCGCCTTTTCGAGCGCCTCAAACGGGGAGCTGGGGCTGCGCTCCGCGATTCCCGGCGACTGCAGAGATCTCAGGTTATCCGACGAGTTGCTGCTATTGGCGCGCAGCATCGGTCTTCCCCCTTGGAACCCGGCGGCGTGCGCGCCCGTGCTGTTCCGGCGGACATGATGGATTGCGCTGCTCAGGCTCCGCGCTCCACGTCCCCCGCTGCGCGGGCGTGTGTTGTCGCGCGCAGGACAATGCTTGTCTTCGCTCATCGATCGCTCGACCGCGCCGCGGAAGCTTCCGCCCACGAATGCGACGAATGCGCCGCCATTGATGCCTCCGTGCGGCCGGAGCGGGGACGGAGGCGGTCGATGCGGGGACGGAGGGGGGCGCTCGAGCGCGGGCGACGGCGTTGCATCCTCGGGGTTTTGATCTCTGTCGGTTGGCCTGTCCACGGCCCGGGAGACGTCGCGCCGCCCGCTCTGTCCGGCGCCAGCGCTCGCGCTGAAGCCGGGGGAAGCCGCGTAGGTCGTCATTTTTTTCATCGCTTGCGCTTCGCCCGCGCGGTCGGTCGCGTGCAGGCCGCCGCCTGCTTCTTCCGCCAGCCGCGTCGGTCGTACTACCGAACCCGCTTCCGCGGCGAAGTCGGCGCGGCGATGTGAGCTGCGCCGCGCGCCGGCTGACGAGTTCGGCCGCGTAGGAATCTCGCCAACGGCTGTTGCTAGTAGGGAAGGTGACCCGGCGGTATTGGCGCTTCCGCGCGCCCTTTCCGCAAGACTCCAATGATTCCCTGCCAGCGCCACGGTACTGTTCGGATTGGCATTGCCATTCCGCTGCCATTCGCGAGTGGAGAAAACGCTAGAGACGGGGCTGCGACCGCCGCTGTCGCATGCGACGCTGGTAACGCTCTTTGCGAAACTTTCGCTCGTGCCACCACTTCTCCCGTCGGTGCTCTCGTCGCTGCTCTCTGCACCGACGAGTGATGGGAATGAATCGAGCTCTATCGAGTCGCTGCTTGTGACAATGTCGAGGGGCGGGGGGCGTCTGAAGGGCGGGCGGAAGGACAATGTTAGCGACGCTGACGGGGAAGGGGGCCGGGGAACATCGGCGGAGCGCCTTCCGAAACTCCCCGGCAAACGGCCTCCAAGAACGACCATTTCGACGCTATTAGAGATATGAATTCGCGCAATATCGACTCAGTATGTGCGGGCTGAGGTAGCGACGAAAATGACTCGTCTCAAATAAGTTGTAGTAGATGAGTCATAAGGCGCTTCGTGGGAAAATATCGCTTCTTCAAGGGGTCTGGACAGGTGTCATGGACCTGGTAGGCATGAGAGCGAGGATGCCCCAAAATTTGCACGTCTGGGAGCGGTGTTGCTGAAAGACGGCAGCAGTATGTATTGATGCCGTAGGCATGGTCGTAGCTTCTAGAAGTTAAACGTGCTAATTTCGGGCTAGAGACAGGTTTGGTTGGGTGAGTTCAGAAATAAATTCGGAATTCTTATTTTCCTTCAAATGCCCTTCGACGTCACGCAAAAGGAATCACAGCTGGCAGACCGAATGCTGTTGACCGAATGCACAAGTTGATTTGCTGCTGGGAGCTCTGGAGTCTTTCCTCGTCTGCTCACGCGACCGTATATTAACGTATTCAACCGCATATCGCCCGACATCATCCAGTCTCACTGCTCTGGCGTCAGGGTCGCATGATGGCCATCTTCAGGATGTGGGTGGGCACTGGGCAGGAGGCAGATGTTCCACAACGGGCACAGCTGTTGTGGGGAGGAGGGCTGTTGTGTTGCGCAGAAACGAGCGGAGCGGATCCCCTCTTAAAGCCCGCGGCCCAAATTGCGGGCCGCGCGGGTCAAGCTTTTAAAACTTGACGAACTAGTGTTTGCAAGGTTTTAAAAAAAGCGCGCCTGCAATTTGGGACTTTCGGGGACTGAACCAACTCCCAGGGCGAAATAACCGAAATCGATAACGTTCGCCAAACCCCAGACCAGAAAAACCCCCTCGCGTCAAGCTTTTAAAAGTTGTGCAATTTGGGCTGCCGGCTTTAACGATCAACAAAGATCGATTAGAAGCGGCTGCGAACAGAAGGGGCTGCGAATTGAACAGATGGTGTATGCGTGTACGAGGATTGGTGAATCACGCTGAGGGAAACGGGGTTACGGGGAAAACGGGTTACGCGAATATCGTTCCGGGGGGAGCGACATTCGCACGTTGCGTCGCACAAAGAACAAGCCGCTTATCACGAAGGATATGTATTTTTAGATATAGGATCCCATCTTGTTGCGTCGTCGTCGTTGATCGCAAGACGAACAAGCAGCTTGTCACGTGTGGTAGTGACCGGCAAATCTGCGGTCACCTCGCTTCCGAGACTCTCGCTGATCCGTCGAACTCACGCAAGAAATCCCATTTGCCACTTGTGGTGGAGTAGTGGAGCACGACGGCGGCGCGACATGAAGCTGAATACTGCCAAGCTCACTTGACCTGAAAAGTCTACGCTGATTCGCCAAGTCTACGCTGTATCTCTTCTGTCAGTTTTCATTGTGCACCAATGCCTTTTCAGCGGAAACTCGTTCACATTCCTCCCCCCATGCTTACAGCCTGCCCAACACCAAATTGGTGAGGGAACTTCAGCATGGGTCATCATCATGCAGTTCTGCACTGTACGCACGATGCCTCCTTTCCTTGCTTGCATTTTGTTCACTGACGTTTCATTTCCCTTGCTACAGTTCATCATTCCCTTCAGGTTCTGGCTCAAATCAATAACTGTACGCGATTGCACGTTGGCGATTAGGAGCTTCAGTAAGACGTCGCCTGCACCTGTGGGATTCTCATGCTGCTTATCTTTTGTTTTAGTCCAACTCTCCTACACCACTTCCTTTATCTTTCTTATTGTCCGACTCTCCTACATGTGGTCCACGTCCACATTAGCATACGATGAATGCTCTACGTGAACGAAAGCATGGGGAGAGAGGAAATGCAAACCCGTATATTCTTCCACACCGTGTAGCCAAGTATGACCGGCATCTCGTTAAACATGGCAAATTCATCACAATCAAATGAAAGCATCTTATCCAAACCATTCAAACAAAACTAGGATGCACGAAGTTCCAACTGTTAGCACTCTTAAACCCCGACGTTCCAGGAAGCCTCAATGTCCCACGTATGTACAACTGTCATCCCGCTGTTGAACAACGTTACTTATCGAGCCACGCCTCCAATCTCAACCTCTGTTCTTCTCCTATCCTGTTACCATTGGGTAACTCTGAAGATCCACCCTCCTTTTTCCGCAGTGGTTGTTGAGACTGCCACAGCAGGCTGGGAGGAGAGATAAGCCTTAGCAACCGGCTTGATATGCTGGGGGTGGCGGAACAGGCAAGGGAGGAGAGAAGGGAGGATGGAAGGGGGATGTAAGGGGGGAGGTCAAGGCAAGACAGGTGGGAGTGGTGAGGAGGATGGTAACTTTAGGAGCAGAACATTCGAGGCGCCGCAAAAGGTGGAAGATGAAGTGGGGAGGAGACTACACTAGAAGAAGCACGAGATGTCCCTCCCCACCAAATTTTTGCCCGGACGATCTGCTTGCTTACTCTCACTATGGGGAGAGCATCTGCTTGCTCTCACCAGCTTTGTGCATCCCCCATAGGAGCTGCCCCGATACTAGTCTCTTCAGCAGTGTCCTTAGCTCCTTCCATGATGAAAGCAAGCAGTGCTGCTGGCCCTGTTGCGGCCCTCCTCACAGCTGCTCTCACCTTGTTTGTGCATCCCCCGTAGTAGCTGCCCCGATACTAGCATCTTCAGCAGTGTCCTCAGCTCCATCGTTGATGAAAGCAAGCAGTGCTGCTGGCCCCGTCAGCGCCCTCCTCACACCTGCCCTGTCAGCCACCGCCACCCGTGCTCCTGCCACGTCAGCACCAGAACTCATAGATGCCACGTCAGAGCTGGAAGCAACAGCTGCCACATCATCAGTGCGAGAAGCAGCTGCACTAAAAACCACCTCCACCACTCCTCCTCCTGCTCCACCCCTCTCCACCGCATTACCCCCTTTCCCTCTATCCATCCCCTCTTCCTCTGCCCTTGTCCCTCCCTCCCCTTCCACCCCTCCCCCCCCCTCCCCTTTCCTCAACCCACTCCCTTCCCCCCCATCCACCACCTCCTCTCTGCTCCCCTCCCCACCCCCAATCCCCGACACTCTCTCATTGCTCTGCTTCCGAGCAGCCTGGTCACTTGCACTGCCCAGCCCCACCAGCCGTCCACCACCCACCACACCCGCCCCTGCCCCCTCTTTGCGAGCCACTTCACCAACGGGCATCTCCCCTCCTTGCGGCACCGCAGCAGCAGGCATCCCAGCTGTATCCGCTCTATACCTCCCCTCCGCTCTCCCACTGCAAACTTCTGCCGTACTGTCGTCACCACCAGCTCTCACACCCTCATCCACTCCCTCACCCCCCCCAGCACGTGGCACTGGCAGGGCGTCCCCCTCTGCAGCCGTCAGAGTGGCATTACTCTCCGCACCAGAGCGGCAGTACGCCTCTGCACCAGCACGGAGGGGACCTGGCGGCACGTCGTTTTCGGCGCGCAGCGAGGGCAGGACGGGCTGCAAGTGATTGCCCGCCACATGCTCTTGCCTTCCACCCGACGCATCCGTGCCCGCGCGCACGGAGGGGAGGGGGCGTGGCGCCACGTTCTTTTGAGTCGACTCAAAAGTCAGCTCCTCTTGCCTTCCACCCGACACATCTGTGCCCGCGCGCACGGACGGCAGAGGACGAGGCGCCACGTCTTTGGCGCCGCGCAGGGACGGCAGGAGCGGCTTGGCGGCAGCCAGGCGCGCCAGCATGCGCTGGACGGATGCTGGGCCGCCAGCTGTCATGCTGCGCGCGATGACGTGGCAGTCCGCCACGTCAGCGCCGGCGAACTCGGCCTCCCGTGAGCAGGCGAGCGTTTCGGCCTGGTGAGGGTGGGGGGGGGTGGGGGGGGTGATGGAGATGGGTGGCGACAGGGGGAAATGGGGGGGGATGGGGCGGAACGGAGAGGGGTATGGGACGATGGGGCAGAATCGTTACCTTGAGTGCCATGGGTGCAGGGCAGGGCAGGTACACTCCCGCCCACACACTGAGCTGACTTTTGAGTCGACTCAAAAGGCAGGTGCACTCCCGCCCACACACTGCTGCACAGCAGCATGTGAGCGCGGTGATCCCGCCTGCCTACCTGTGCTAGCCCTAGGATGCTCCTCCTACTTGTACCCTTCAGCCTTGTGCACTGCGCTGGGCACCCCCACCTGCCGCCCCACCTGCCGCCCCACCTGCCGCCCCGTTACCTTGAGAGCAACGAGCGAAGGCACGTTCCCGTGCACGCGCTGCTGCACTCCCGCGAGCGCCGCTGACGGCTCGTGCGCCGCCAGCAGCAGCAAATCCGCCAGACGCGCGTGCACTGCGGGGGGGGGGGGGGGGGGGGGGGGGGGGGGGGAAGAGCGGGGGAAGAGCGGGGGAAGAGTTGGAACGGACAGGGAGTGACAAGGAACGACACGGGGGGTGAGGAGGACGAAGGGAGGAGAACGGAATTGGATGGCATGGGGGCACTGTGCCCCCCTCTCCGCCCCTCTCCGCCCCTCCCCCCCTTCTCCGCCCCTCTCCGCCCCTTCCCCCCCCTATCGCGCCATACATCTTCCCCGCACGATATCCGCTCCTCTCCACGCGACTAACCTCCCCCACTCCCTCGCACGGCGCGCAAACGCCGCCCCTCGGCGCACCTTGCTGCGCGGACGGCGCCTCCGCCACGCGCGGAGGCATGATGGCGGCCTGCGCGGACGAGTCAGTTCGAGGCGGCGCTAACTGCACGGAACGCACCACTACCGGTCGGAGCCAGAGACTACTTTTGAGGCGCGTTCATAAGTACTCCTTTTGCTTTTGAGGCGCCTCAAAAGCAGTCGGAGAAAGAGACTTCCCCAAAAGCAGTCGGAGAAAGAGACTTCCCCTAGACGACTGATTTCACGAAATGGGCTGCGCAATGCTGCAGAGGTGCGCGGAGGGGTTGCGCGGAAATTTGACTTCTTCGGGTATCGGGGCGCGCGCGTCAATCACTCGCTCGGCGCATAAAGAATAGAATTCGTCGCTATCACACGCACGACGACCTTCGAGGCACGCACGATTCTGCTCGCAACGATGCTGCCCAATCTATTCGCACTCAACAATTCCACTCCTCGTCGTTTGGGAATTCCATTTCTCCACCATTTCCAAATGCACATTTGTTGGCGTCACGTCAGCAGCGCAATTCGAGACGAGTAAATGCCACTCCGGCGGTCACCTGTTGGATTGGAACGGAACGGTTCCAACATGCAGCAGCACTTCTAGCTCAGGCACTTGCCTTTTCGAGGCGATTTTCGACTAACCTCAGAAGGCGTCGTTAGCCCGCCCGTTGTTGGCTGGACACTGCCAGTCGTCAAAGCGACGGGCGTTTGAGACGTCCCAAGGTTCAGCCCTTGAAAGACGTCCCAAGCCATGGTGCCGCCTCCTTTTGCTCGCTTCTCGCCCTCCCCTCCTGCCGTTTCCGCCCCATCCTTCCCGCTTGCCCACAGCCTTCACCCGTCATCCCTCCGCCCTTCACCCCTCCGCCCCCCCTCGCTCTCCCCCGCTCCTCCTCTCTTCTCACCCCAGCCCTTCCCTCTCGCCAAGAGGCGTCACCCATCCATACTCTTCCTCCCCTGGCTTGTGTCGCCTTCATCGCCTCACTGCCTGTCCAATGCCAGCCCCAACAGCGCCTCAGGAGGTGGGGGGCGCTCCTCGGTTTTTGAGTCGACTCAAAACCCATCGCCTCACTGCCTGTCCCCTGCCAGCCCCAACAGCGCCTCAGGAGGTGGGGGGCGCTGCTTTCCTCCCTGCTGCTGCTCCTCCCGCTCCTCCTCCCCCTCCTCCCCCTCCCCTCCGTCCTCCCCCTCCTCCCTCTCTTCCCCCTCCGCTTCCTCTTCGCCCCCTACCCGCTCATTCTCCACTCCCCCCCAACCCCCTGGAATCTCCTCCCAGAAACCCCAAACTCCCAAACCCTGCAACCCGAGCTCCAATTCCCTGACCCGTGATTGGCTGACGCGCCTCCTCCTCTCGCGCGATTGGCTGCTGTCTCCCGCCAAAGCTGCTCCCCACATCACCCAAGTGTTTCTCGGACCAACCCTTCACCTCGCCTGCCCCAAAATCCATAGAGAACCTTGGAGGAGCGAGGAGCAGTTGGGACAAGCACATGAGCTTTCTATGAATAGAATACCAGCACATGGGCTTTCTATTAATAGTACATCAGCAGGATTGGCGGCTGTTGTTGGTGCTGGTGCTGGGAACAGCGATCCTCCCCCCTCTCCGCTCATCTGCACCGTTGATGTGATCCGGGACGATCTCATCCATCCGTTGGCGGGTGGCAACAAGCTGCGCAAGCTGGACGGGCTGCTGCTGCCCGTTATCCGATCCGGGGCAACAGACGTGGTAAGAAATAGGCGGGTATTATTGGAAGTGACCCATGCAGCTACAGGGCGGCATTGGGTGCACAGACTTGGCTTACCCGAGTCTCAGAATGCTAGAAAATGAGTTTCACAATCTGAAAACGCCTGCCTGAAGCCGGGCTTTGCCTGAGATGGCCCTTGCCTTGGTGCTCTCCCCTCTCTTTGCCCGGCCATCTCTCTCCTTCACAGTTCACCGCTCTCTCATGTCTCCCTCTCCCCCCTCTTTCTCTCTCCATCACTCCTCCAGGTCACCTGTGGGGGCTGCCAAAGCGCACACACCGCTGCTGTGGGTGAGTCTTTGCCTGTTGCTTACTCTGTATTTTGGTTCCTCCGTGCGGACTGGACTAGGAATGGTACAGTTCTGTGCAGTCTATGAGTGGTACAGTACAGTGGGTGCGGACTAAAAAAAGGTACTGACCGGTAATGGTACATTCCTTCTAGCAGCATCTTCTCGACACCCTCTCCATTGACACCCCCCCCCCTCTTTATTTTCTCACCGTCAACCCTAAACCCTTGTCGCCTTCTCCCCTTACTGCTCTTACTCCAGCCGTGGCGTGTGCAGAGAGGGGCCTTAAAGCCCACCTCGTGCTAAGGGGAGAGCCGCCCAAAGTTCCTACCGGGAACGCCCTCGTCTCGCACATGTTCGGCTGCCCGAGATATGTTTCCCGGGCAGAATACGCGGACCGGGAGAAGGCGCTTCTTTCTCGGGCAGCTGCGGTGGCTGGGGAAAAGGGGACGGTCCAATGGGGTGCTGGCCCTGCCATGTCATCCGTCAGCTTTGGCATGTCAGGGTTGAGAGAAAGAGGCGGTGTTTGTGAAGCTGCAGAGATCGGGCACAAGTCAGCAGAGAGGGTGCATGACTCAGCTGGGGGGGCGTATGAGTCAGCAAAGGGACATACACGTGTGGCAATCATCCCTGAGGGCGGATCAGATGGCCTGGCCCTACTGGGTGAGTCAACCCTGGTCATGCATTCCTAGTCAGTAGTGTTTTCCCAGCTCCTTGTCTACCTCGCTCCACCGCCCATCCCCTTCTGTCTTCCCACTTCCCTGCAACTCCTCAGTCCGCTCTGCTCTAGTCCTCCCCCATTTTCTCCAGGTCTGCTGCGTCTGGTGCGCCTGCTGGCAGAGCAAGACGAGCAGCGCGAGCATGAGCAGCTACATGGGCAGCACGGGCAGCGGAGGCAAGGCGAGCATCACGGGCAGAGGAGGCGAGTGGTGGTGGTGGACAGTGGCACGGGCACCACTGCTGTCGGCTGTGCGCTTGCCGTACATCTGCTGGGGTGAGCATTGCACTTTGATTGAGTAAATGAGCAGCTGTTAGGCACCACTTCTGTCAGGAGAGGCTTCGTCTCCTTGTGTGAGGAGAAGCTCCCTCTCCTCCTCTGCTTTACCTTCTCCTGGGCAGAGGAGAAGAGGAAGCTTCTCCTGGGCTCCTCTCCCCGGCTGTATCTTGCCCTTCCCCCATCATCCCACAACCAGCCTGCCATGCCTCGTGGAGGGGTCATGCTTGCACGCACCACTGCCTCCTCTGCCTTACGTCCCCCCAAACCCTACCCTGCCTCCACTGCCTCCTCTGCCTTACGTCCCCCCACACCCTACCCTGCCTCCACTGCCTCCTCTGCCTTACGCCCCCCCACACCCTACCCTGCCTCCACTGCCTCCTCTGCCTTACGTCCCCCCACACCCTACCCTGCCTCCACTGCCTCCTCTGCCTTACGCCCCCCCACACCCTACCCTGCCTCCACTGCCTCCTCTGCCTTACGCCCCCCCACACCCTACCCTGCCTCCACTACCTCCTTTGCCTCTTCTGCCGTGCCTTTCCTCCTTACCCTTCTCAACCCATCATCCCACAACCAGCCTGCCATGCCTCGTGGAGGGGGTCATGCGTGCAGTGCAGGCACCACCACCTCCAAGCTCTGCTTTACCTTCGCCATGCCCTCGCCTTGTCCCCTATCCTCCTTCGCCCTGCCTCCTCACCCCATCATATCCCACCAACCAGCCTGCCCTGGCTTGTTGTGGGGGTCATACTCGAGCTGACTTTTGAGTCGACTCAAAAGTCAGCACTGCCTCCTCACCCCATCATATCCCACCAACCAGCCTGCCCTGGCTTGTTGTGGGGGTCATGCTCGCAGGCACCCCCGACTACTACACTGCTCAGCAGGAGAAGCTGCTCAGAAGCTTCGCAGCCCAGCTCCCCTCGCTGCTCTCTCAGGCAGAAGCGCCGGTCCCTGTGACAGATCGAGACCAGGAGGTTGAGTCTCATAGAACCACAACAGAGGTGGCAGAGGTGGCAGAGGTGGCAGAGGTGGCAGAAGGGGCAGAGGGGGCAGAAGGGGCAGAGGGGGCAGGGGCGGCAGAAATGGCAGAGGTGGCAGAGAGGGCAGAAGAAGCAGAGGGGGCAGAGGCAGCAGGGGAGGTGGGGAGGGCACAGCAGCAGCTGTCTGCCTTAGCCGGCGCCCTTCCCCTCGTCTGGGTGCCTCGAGAGACTCCCCGTCGGTACGCCCCATCCCATGCACTCCCCTTCCCCCTCCTTAGCATTCCCTTCCCCCCTCCTTTGCAACTCCCTGGTGTGTGTGGCATGCCTTTGTGATGGGGGGCATGCGTGCAACAGGCTTTAAGGCATAGCACAGTCCGGCTCCATCCGCTCACTTGCTCATCCCAACACCTCCCCTCGACCCTCTCCCGAGTCCTCCTCCCCTTTTCCCCTCCTTCCCCTGCAGCTTTGGCAAGGTGCTTCCTGGTGAGATCACACAGTGCTGTGAGTTCATGCGAGCAACGGGCACCCCCATTGAACCCATCTACATACTAGCTGCCACAAGCCCTGCTCCCACCACCGCCGTCCCTCACTTACTCTTCCCCTCAACCTCCCAACCCTCCCCTCTCTAACAGCTTTGGCAAGGTGCTTCCCGGGGAGATCTCCCAGTGTTGTGAGTTCATGAGAGCAACAGGTGTCCCCATCGATCCCATCTACACACTAGCTGCCTGGGAGGTCGCCCACGCTCTCCCACGCGCCCTCGCTCTCACACAGGCGCTACGACTGGCCAATGGAGGAGAGACACGTGGGCAAGGGCTGGCCAATGGAGGGGACGCTGGAAAGCCTTTCAAATCTTGTCAAGCGAAGCCCAGGGAGTGGAGGCAGTGCTCAAACGATCAGAGTCATGAGGAGCAGTTTGCTGAAACGCTTGCTAGGGCTCTGCTTCCGAAGCTGGGCGAGTGCCTCGGCAGCGGGCTCATGGCGGGAAGCAGTGGAGAAGCGGAAAGGAGCGGTGTTATCAGCACAAATGATGTTCGTGCCAATGCCGGTGCTGCTGCTGCTGATGCCCATGCTGTTGCTCGTGGCTCGACTATTGATGATGCCCATGCTCATGCTCGTGATGCTGCTGCTGACAGTGGTACCATCAGCATCACGGTGTTACACACAGGAGGGACTCTGGACATGTTTGGCCTCGCACAACGATTCCCCGAGGAATTCTCTCCCAAGAGTTGACACCATTCCACAAATTCTGATCAATCCCCGGAATTACCATCTTATATTGCCACATTGAGTTTGGGTTCAACAAGTGCTCTGGAAATCTCCAGGAACCCTGTCCTCCATGCATTTCCTCAAGAGTTTTACAGTACCACTGATGCCACACAAGCCACACAAGCCTCACAAGCCAATTGAGTGCAAGCTGACAAAACTTTCCAGCCCCGCAACAACCAGTGCGACCACTGCTACAGGCCATTGTCTTTGTTAGACATATATTTCCAACAGTCGTAAAAGGCCCAGAAATACCCCCGGGCTGGCGCCAACAGTGGTATGCGCTGTTCAGAAGCCATAGTCCCGGAGATCTAGGAGCACCCGCCAGCCAGCATCAGCAGAGGTATCAACAGGCAAGAGGAAATCATCCCCCGGCCCGGATCGGTGTCTTTACACGAAGCTGTGCTGAAAGCATAGCGCAGGCGCATGGTCTGAAGAGAGAAGAGAGACCCAAAGGAGCCCTGGTACATGTCGGCCTGAGCGCTGATGGCCACGGTTACCAGACCCCCACGAGCCCCCTCTTCCCCTTCTCCTACCCTCACCCACTCCCTCACAGGCCGTTCTCCTGGAGATCTAGGAGCACCCGCCAGCCAGCATCAGCAGTGGTATCAACAGGCAAGAGGAAATCATCCCCCAGAGCGGTGTCTTTACACGAAGCTGTGCTGAAGGCATAGCGCAGGCGCATGGTCTGAAGAGAGAAGAGAGAACCAAAGGAGCCCTGGTACATGTCGGCCTGAGCGCTGATGGCCACGGTTACCAGGTCTAGCACCTGCTGGAAGGTTCCTGGAAAGCGCTTGAGGATTCGCTGGTGGAAGGAGCGTGGGAAGATGAAGCGGACCGGGTCGCCATTGATCTCCCACAGCTTGTACCATGCCTCTCGAACCTGCCAGTAAGGAGGACAGTGGGGGGGGGTGTGATGCGGCAAGGAGGATAGGGGGGTGAGACAGAAAGGGTGGTGCAAGGGAGGATGAAGCGGACCGGGTCTCCGTTGATCTCCCACAGCTTGTACCATGCCTCTCGGACCTGCCAGTAAGGAGGACAGTGGGGGGGGGTGTGATGCGGCAAGGAGGATAGGGGGGTGAGACAGAAAGGGTGGTGCAAGGGAGGATGAAGCGGACCGGGTCTCCGTTGATCTCCCACAGCTTGTACCATGCCTCTCGGACCTGCCAGTAAGGAGGACAGTGGGGGGGGGTGTGATGCGGCAAGGAGGATAGGGGGGTGAGACAGAAAGGGTGGTGCAAGGGAGGATGAAGCGGACCGGGTCTCCGTTGATCTCCCACAGCTTGTACCATGCCTCTCGGACCTGCCAGTAAGGAGGACAGTGGGGGGGGGTGTGATGCGGCAAGGAGGATAGGGGGGTGAGACAGAAAGGGTGGTGCAAGGGAGGATGAAGCGGACCGGGTCTCCGTTGATCTCCCACAGCTTGTACCATGCCTCTCGGACCTGCCAGTAAGGAGGACAGTGGGGGGGGGTGTGATGCGGCAAGGAGGATAGGGGGGTGAGACAGAAAGGGTGGTGCAAGGGAGGATGAAGCGGACCGGGTCTCCGTTGATCTCCCACAGCTTGTACCATGCCTCTCGGACCTGCCAGTAAGGAGGACAGTGGGGGGGGGTGTGATGCGGCAAGGAGGATAGGGGGGTGAGACAGAAAGGGTGGTGCAAGGGAGGATGAAGCGGACCGGGTCTCCGTTGATCTCCCACAGCTTGTACCATGCCTCTCGGACCTGCCAATAACGGGGATGATGCAGAACAGTGGATGAAAAAATGAAGAGGAACCAACGAATGGATCGAGCTGGCTGTTTCGGTTCCCCAATGCTTGCACCACGCCCTTGAAAATGAATTCACCGTGCCATGCAGGTGCAGCTCTCCTTCACGATGGGGCGCGGATCTTCGATCTCGCGCGCGTGGACCAGGGCGCGCGCGTGGACCAGGGCGCGCGCGTGGACCAGGGCGCGCGCGTGGACCAGGGCGCGCGCGTGGACCAGGGCGCGCGCGTGGACCAGGGCGCGCGCGTGGACCAGGGCGCGCGCGTGGACCAGGGCGCGTGCGTGGACCAGGGCGCGCGCGTGGACCAGGGCGCGCGCGTGGACCAGGGCGCGCGCGTGGACCAGGGCGCGCGCGTGGACCAGGGCGCGCGCGTGGACCAGGGCGCGCGCGTGGACCAGGGCGCGTGCGTGGACCAGGGCGCGCGCGTGGACCAGGGCGCGCGCGTGGACCAGGGCGCGCGTGTGGACCAGGGCGCGTGCGTGGACCAGGGCGTGCGCGTGGACCAGGGCGCGCGCGTGGACCAGGGCGCGTGCGTGGACCAGGGCGCGCGCGTGGACCAGGGCGCGCGCGTGGACCAGGGCGCGCGCGTGGACCAGGGCGCGCGCGTGGACCAGGGCGCGTGCGTGGACCAGGGCGCGTGCGTGGACCAGGGCGCGTGCGTGGACCAGGGCGCGCGCTTCGACCATGTCGCGTGTTTGGAACCAACCCACCTCTTGATCAGATGCTGATAGCGCACCAAGCAGCAACCCACCTTATACAGTCACGCACCATCCAGCACCAAGCAACCATCCCACCTCTTGATCAGATGCGTCTGTGACAAGAAAGAGCCGTCGAATGCTAGATGCTGATAGCGCACCAAGCAGCAACCCACCTTATACAGTCACGCACCATCCAGCACCAAGCAACCATCCCACCTCTTGATCAGATGCGTCTGTGACAAGAAAGAGCCGTCGAATGCCAGATGCTGATAGCGCACCAAGCAGCAACCCACCTTGTACAGTCACGCACCATCCAGCACCAAGCAACCATCCCACCTCTTGATCAGATGCATCGGTGACAAGAAAGAGCCGTCGAATGCCCGAAGCCGACAGCTTGCGCCACAAGCAACCCGCCACCTCATGCAGTCACATGCCTTTTAGGAACCAACCAACCCACCTCATACAGTCACACACCATCACGCACCAAGTGACCCACCTCTTGATCAGATGCGTCGGTGACAAGAAAGAGCCGTCGAATGCCTGAAGCCGACAGCTTGCGCCACAAGCAACCCGCCACCTCATGCAGTCACATGCCTTTTAGGAACCAACCAACCCACCTCATACAGTCACACACCATCACGCACCAAGTGACCCACCTCTTGATCCGATGCGTCGGTGACAAGAAAGAGCCGTCGAATGCCTGAAGCCGACAGCTTGCGCCACAAGCAACCCGCCACCTCAGCAACCGATAGCTGGCAGGCACGGTTACCAACGCCTTTGATGTAACCCCCATCGCCGTCACCACCACCACCACTGCTGCTGCTTCCGCTGCTGCTGCTGCTGCTGCTGCTGCTGCTGCTGCTATTGGTTTTCGTACTATATTCTATGCTTCTCAACCCTCTTCTTTTCCCTTTCTTCACAAACCCAATGTTAGACTTTGATTCCTTATCTGCTGCAGCTGCTCTTGCTGCTGCTGCATCTGCATCCCCCCCCAAGTCACACCAAAGCTGACCCTCCAACCCTGCCCTCTTCTCATAATTCACCGCAAGAAACGGGATTTTCGCCCCGTCGCTGCCCGAGAAAAAGGTTTTCTGAATCTCGTTCGCCAGCCGCAGAACCTTCCGGTTGGGCAGGAGCGTGTACGGGTTCGGGCAGCCCGGCGAGCGAACAAACGGCGCATCCCCTGGAAAGTTGACCAGATTCGGAGCATCTGGGACCTCCCAGAACGCGTAGAGCAAATCCCCCACAAACAGCACCCGTGCCGAGCGAACCTCCGGCGCCGTGTAGACCGAGAGGAACGACCGGAGAGGGGACTGCCGAGTGAGGTTCGCAAAGAGGGCGGTTCGCGGAAAGGTGAGGTCGGGGCGGGCTCGGAATCGCTTCGGGAGAACAGACTTGTCCTTGTACCAGGGCACAAGAGCGTCAATCACAATGGGATGTGCTGTTTCTTCGGGGTCGAAACCCTCTTCAGTTGATGAATTCTCCTCGTCTTCTGGCAGCTTCGTTTTTGCTTCCTTATCCGTCTTCTTCTTCTTCCCCTTGAGGAGCCGCCTCCATTGGACCGTCTCTGCTTCTCCCTCTCTCCTCCGTTCTCCATCGCCATCCCCCGCCTTTTCCCTCTCTTCCTCTTCCTCTTCCTCGACCTCCTCCGTCAACCCCTCCCCCCCTTCCACTTCCCCATCACTCACCCCCAAACCAGCATCGCCCCGACCAACCAGCACCCTCCTCCTCCCCTCCTCCTCCCCCTCCCCTCCTCCCCCCTTCCCCCTCTGCCTTGCTCTCCACTCATGCGCCAGCAGCACGGTCTCCTCTCCGTAGCACATCCGCAGGTGCCCCACATCAACAGCCAGCTCCCACGAGTGCTCGCCCCGCACGCCCTTGCCATGGAAGCGGCCGATCAGAAGAGTGCGGTTGAGCAGTCCAGCCAGCAGCAGGTGGTGCTGCAGACACACCAGCCTCTCGCTCAACTGCCAGGCGAGGGGGGGTGAGAAAGGACTCACAAGAGCAGAAGTGGTGCTTTGGTAGCGGTGGGACGGACGGGAATCAATGGACTCTGAACGTGCGGCCGATCAGCCTAAATACAGACCTTCCTCTCCTTTCCTGCCTCACCTTTTCTCTCCTTCCCTTCCTTAACTTCCTCGCAATCATCTCTTTCCCTCCCCAACCCTCCTCTCCTCCCCTTCTCTACCCTCCTCTCCTCCCCTCCCCTACCCTCCTCTCCTCCCCTCCCCTCCTCTCCTCCCCTCCCCTACCCTCCTCTCCTTCCCTCCCCTACCCTCCTCTCCTTCCCTTCCTCATCTTCAACTCCTCCCTCCTCACCCTTCTCTCCTTCCCTCTCTCACCTTGCCCTTGTGGCACGAGAGCAGAAGGTATCGGTCCGCCTCCACAGCAACAGACCGTTGCCACCATCAGCATGACCATCAATGTTGAGATTTATCTTTTGGGAAGACTGGCATGTGACCCTCACCTTGCCCTTATGGCACGAGAGCAGCAGGTATCGGTTCGCCTCTGGTTTCCACAGCAACAGACCGTTGCCACCACCACCACCACCACCACCCTTGTTGCCATTAGAAGCAGCAGCGGACGCTGCGGCTGCCGCTGCTGCTGTGGTGCGCTTCTCGCTGAACAGACGCGTGGCGCCACAGTGGCGCGCCAGCTGGCGGTTGCGAGTCTCTAGAGCCAATAGGAACGCAGGGATTCTGGAGCACGATGGTGAAGTGTGGGAGGGGAGCGGAGAGAGCACGGGAGAGGAAGGGGAGTGCGGGTGGATGGAATGTCAGCAAGTGCGAACGCTTCGAGTTTGACAATGATAGCTGAAACGTCAAGATGCCACGTGGCGCTACAGGCATGTAACATTGTTCGGGTGAAGTTTGTGAATCATGGAAAGAGGATTTCTCGCCACGTGCCTCCCTATTATCCAATCCATCCACACTCCCTCCACACTTCCTGAGCACTCCTCCTTTGAAGTCCCCACCCTCTCTCCTTCAACAATGCTCTCCCTGCTTACTGGTCCTTTGCACTCCCAGCTGCTTCAGCGTCTCCCGCATTCTCTGCATCCGTCGCAATGGTACTCGTGCTAGTCGGTAACCCTATTCGCAGCAGCTCGTTAACGTGCGATCCAGCTGCCTCCTCAGCCTCCGCCTCAGATTCCTCATTCCCAGGATCAGTTTCGGAACTTTCCGGGACATCATCCGGGATTTCCGGAATCTCTGCAAGTTCCGGAATTTCCGGCGGCGCTTCTAACGGCTCTGATTCGTCCGAGTTGCTCGCCAAGGGACCCTCGGCTAACACGGGTAGTGCATGCTTTGAGAAGACGAGGGAGAATGAGAGTAACAGAACGACACATAATCGAGCAACTATTTTCATGTCGAGCAGCTTTTAGACAGGAAATCCAGGAGGCAGCATGGGTAGCTGTTTCGAATTTGCGCGGCAACGAGAGCGAATCTGACTGACAGAGGAAGCTTCGCAAGCAGAACACAGGGAGGGAAACTATGGAGGGAGGAGGACGCGTTTCATTCCATCCCACAAATATCAATAGACGAGCCACAAGTACAGTAAGCGGAAAAATGTTTTGTATGGAAAAATTGCTGATATGGCAGATATAGATTTTATAGCATCCTAGAAGCACGTCTCCAATGTCAGAGACATGAAAAGCTGGTGTAACTTCTTTCATCCATAGCATGCCCGACCTGATGGCGACACTATGGTTCTCTACAATCACAGAAAATCAAGGATTATGATTATTCAGTGGTTAATCAACTCTGTCTGTAGATGTCATTTCAAAAAACGGCATTAGATGATTTGAGCATCTAAAGCTCACAAATTTGCACCATTTCATAGATGATTTCCTCCAGGAGGTACAGGTGTAGCACCAGTCGAATAAACGAATCGAAGCGTCAGTTTGACGTCAGGTTCCCGCGGGTTCCCCAGACTCCGCAGTCGCGCTGATTGGCGGAGGAGCATCCTGCGCGCAGAGGAATCAGAGCTGCGCTCTGCGCGCGCTTCACCGCTTCTCCTCCCTCCGCCCTCCACCCCTCTTTCTCCTTCACTGGGTTTACCTAAAAAGGGGCGAAAATTGCTCAACAAGAACCTAGAAATTGCCATCTCGGGGAGTTCAGCATGGACTTTCTTGATTTCTCACTGGCGCTTCCCTCGAGCTTGTCATCAGCTTTTCCTGTCTCGCTCCGTTTGCCAAGATCTTGGATTTCCTCGACAGGAGAGTAAACTCCCGGTCGGGTATTGTAGGGCTGGCCTCTGCGCCCTCTAATTCACCCGTTTCCGTTTCAGAGCCACGGGGAACCAAGATTTGGTCGGCTGAGGCACTGTTACCCCTTTAGAAGGCTTCTGATGGAGCAGCAGGAGCACGACGATATCAATGAGGGCATGGAGCAGCTAGCAATTCACGGTCCCTTGCCCATCGAGCAGCTAGAGGTAACATAAGAGGTCAATCGCGAACCTGTTGATGGATCATACGCAGTGCACTAGTTATTTCGAAGCCCCATGCGCATTTGAGTTTTTTTCTTTTCTGCAGCAATGCGGAATTTCTGCGACGGATGTGAAGAAGCTTCGTGAAGGAGGATTATTCACTGTCGAAGCTGTAGCTTACACAAGTAGAAAAGACCTCCTCAAGATTAAAGGCATCAGCGAGGCAAAAGTCGACCGTCTGAACGAGGCAGGCAAGTTCCGCTCGTTCTGCCATGACGCTTCTTCCGGTTCAGTACCTCTTGATAAAGTTTCGTAACTGTTTTGCTTATGCAGCCAGTAAGCTGGTTCCGATGGGGTTCCAGAGTGCAACTCACGTGCATCAAATGAGAAGCAACGTCATTCATTTAACTACAGGATCGAAGGAGCTCGATGCTATCCTGCAAGGTAATTAACTGATGCAGTTGGATACAGCTGATGCGGGAAACATGGATTAAGTTACTGTGATGCCAGCCGTTCAAGACGTGACGCTCTAAACGATGGAATTTTTTATTCTCAGGTGGTGTGGAGACAGGGTCCATAACGGAGATCTATGGCGAGTTTCGCACAGGAAAGACACAGCTTTGCCTCACATTGGCTGTCACTTGTCAAGTGAGTAATTTTTTTCCGTCTCAGTTGGGATTTGTGCGGCTGTTCTCTCCAATCTTTTACCAACACTTTTACTGATTCCGCCTGCAGCTTCCAGTGGCCGATGGCGGAGGCGAGGGCAGGGCACTTTGGATTGACACGGAAGGAACATTCAGACCAGAGCGGTTGGAAGAAATTGCTCCGCGATATGGACTTATTACTACTGAAGTACTTGACAATATAGCGTATGCACGAGCGCACAACACAGATCACCAGACGCAGCTGCTCATTGAGGCAGCATCCATGATGTCCGAGAGCAGGCAAGTGGCATTTGTTAGACGTTTTGATTTGGTTGTGGTGCTGTTCATTTTCGGGTATGTAGGGCATTGTTGTGCTGACTATTACGCTGTGTGTTTCATTGCTGCAGATTTTCTCTGATAATAGTTGACAGCGTCACAGGCCTCTACAGGACGGACTACTCGGGCAGAGGAGAATTGGCAGCACGGCAGATGCATCTAGCTCGATTCCTGAGAACTCTGCAGCGGCTTGCAGATGAGGTAGCATTTTCCCCTCTTGTTGCCACCTTACTCCTGCTGTCAGCCTTCATCATCATTGGAACTCACTGGAATGTCTTTGTGACTGCCAGTTTTCTTGTGCAGTGGTGGTGACCAACCAAGTGGTGGCTTCTGTCGAAGGCAACATGTTTGCTGGCCCTCAAGTGAAGCCCATTGGAGGCAACATTATGGCTCATTCATCCACGACAAGGTACCCTGTCTATCCGAGGGTGTTTTCACTGGCCGATGCTGTAACTGCACTGACTCCTGGTGTGGTTTTTTTATTTCAGGCTTTACGTGAGAAAGGGAAGGCAAGAGGAGAGAATTTGCAAGATTATTTGCTCACCTTGTCTGCCAGACGCGGAGGCGAGATACTGCATTGCTGAAGAGGGGATTACCGACTGCAAAGATTGAGGGAGTGTGTTCTGTTTCGTGCTTCAGCATATTTATACGGATGCAAGTGCAATCAAGGTTGCACTTGCGTGTTTGGATAGATGCACATTGTAATGCTATTTTACCCAAATGCATTTGTTCTGGGTCTTTCAACGTTCAAGGTTGTGCAATTCAGCCTTAGCTGGTTGCCAGTAAAAAAACGGACAGTACTTTTGCCACTTCCGCACTAACGAAGCCCGAACTTGCCACGTGTTCGTGAAGATGGAGCCACCACGTGAAGATGTCACATGTGACAAACCTCAAACTCGAACCAAAAATGCCAACAACCAGACAAATTTGCTGCTCGCCGAGCCTGACGTGGTCCTGAGGAGGTTTGTGCTCGGGGTGTATCGAGGCTGACGTGCTGGTTCGTTTTGAAACTTTCGGTTCGGCTCGCGCAAGCCTTGCTCGACTGTTATTTTCTGCACAGTGCAGTACTTGCAACTGTACATTATTCCGTCTTTCTTACGTGTGCATGCAGGCACGGCACTGGGAACTACGAGTTCGTTGAGTGCTCTTCTTTTCAGTGGGGTGACTAGTCTAGGATTTTCAGCCGATAAGTGGTGTCTTGGACACTTTAGGGACTAGCAGGCTTGTCCTGCCGTGCGTTAGGTTTTCCGTCAGCTTTAGCTCAAGCCGGCAATGCCTTTTAGTTGAGGGCACTGAAGACTAGGAGTTGCTGAACGCGCCTAGCCGTAGGCATTGTTGTTCGGTCTTATGATGGGCAGCTAGCCTTTGCTGTTGCTGCGGTTAAGTATTCATAGGGACACGATGAAAGATACAGGTGTTGTCGTTCGGTAGTGTTGTCGCCGTAAGGCACAAACCGTGCGCCCGACTTGGTCTGACGTAGACAGTAATATTCATTTTAGAAGATGCCGAAGCCTCTGCTACGGCACCCATCCAACCCTGTCCCAGACCAATGTCCCCGCGCTCCCCTTCCCGACTCCATACACGAGCTCGCATCGCGCGTCTTCGGTTCCGGAAAGTCCGGGAACAGGAAATTTATAACCGCGCACAAGGGCACTAGAAATGCCGCGCGGAAAGGCCAGGATGAGGCGGGGACGACGGGGCAGCGGTTCGTGGCGACGGCGGGGTTCGTGTCGATCGAGGCGGCGTCTGTGATGCAGCAGGCGCTGCGATTGTGGTCCATGATGAGTCCCGTGGAGATCGAACGGCTCATGACCAGCCTCCAGGTGGGGCCTGTGATGATTCGCCTAAAGTGAGCTCCTAGTCGAGTACGCTTAAGGCCGCTCGTGCTTCAAATGAGCGCTTTACGCCAGTCATCGCGTGCTGGAGTTTAGTGTGAAGGTCTCTAGTCGAAAATGCCCTGCTTCGCGTTTCGAGATGCCTCGAAACTGCCATGAGTCGCTGGCTTTAATTCGCCTTTCTTCGCGTGCTCTGCCCGTTCCCTTGCCCTCTTTTCCCTGCTCTTCCCGTGTTCCCTCTCGTGCCTCTCACTTCCCTCCTCGCGCCTCTCCGCATGGCAGGACACGGCCCTCATTCTCTTCGTTTACCACGATCCCGTGCACCTCTGGACGCTCGCTGGTACGTGCCATTCACCTCTGGACGCTCTATGGTATGTGCGGTCTAGGCGGGCTGTTGCGGGTATGATTGCATTTTATGCGAATGTGACTGCTTTTGATGTGGATACGATTGCATTCCATGTGGTGTGGTGCAGTGTCGTTCCACGTTTCATGTCCCTATGTCATTCAGTCACGATGGAGCTGATAGAGAATCTGGAGAAGCTGGCGGAACGGGTGGCGACCCCTTTCACTTCCCCCACCTCCCCCTCCCCCTCCCCCCATTCTCCTCCCTACCACCCCCCTTCACGGGGATGAACTGCGAGGAGACGCGCCTGCACGGGATGGCCGCCCCTTTTACACCCTCCCACTCCCCCTCCCCTTGCCCCCTTCCCCCTCCCCCCCCCCCCCCCACCCCCCCCCTTCCTCCTTCCCTCCCCTCCCCCTCCCCCCAGGGTTAGAGCTGATGGAGAGTCTGGAGAAGCTGGCGGAGCGGGTGGCGGCGATGGGGATGAAGTGCGAGGAGACGCGGCTGCACGGAGTGACGGCCCCGTTTACACCCCCTCTCACTCCCCGGCCATTTTCCCCCAACCCCCTCCTCCCTTAGGTCTAGAGCTGATGGAGAGTCTGGAGAAGCTGGCGGAGCGCGTGGCGGCGATGGGGATGAAGTGCGAGGAGACGCGGCTGCACGGGCTGGCGTTCTACTTCAACGAGCTGCGCCACCCCGCCACCCAGTTCCCCGCCTTCCGCCTGCAGCCGGGCGAGCAGGAGAGCCTCATGTGGTGCGCAGGGGAGAGTTTGGTAGGGGGAGAAAGGGCTCGTGTGGTGGGAGGGGTGGGGGAGTGGGAAATGGAAATTTGAGCTTCATGTGCTGGGTGTTTTTGAGAATTCTCAAAAACAACCTTCAGCAATATGGAAAATTGAGCTTCATGTACTGGGTGGAGGCATTTGAGAGCAGAGTGAGAGAGATCTGTCGTCCCGTGCCGCTCTCTGCCGTCCTCTGCTCTCCCTGTTCTTCCAACCGCCGGTCTCCCTTCGCCCTATCCCCCTCTCCCCTCACCCATTCTCACCTCCGCCATCCGGCTACATGCGGAAGCAGGTGGAGCGATTGGAGGAGCTGCGGCAGTGCATTGCGCAAAGAACCTTCGTTCCTTGTATGCTGCCTCACATTCCTCTTCCTTCTGCCCCGTCCGTCACTCCCTTTCCCCCTCACTTCCGTCCTCTGCTGTCCTGTGACGCCCAGCTACATGCGGGAGCAGGTGGAGCGAGTGGAGGAGCTGCGGCAGTGCATGGAGCGAATCAACACTGTGCGCTCCAGCATCAAGTGAGTGCTCTTATAACGAGTCAGCCAGTGCTGCTGCTTCGAGTAGGCGGGCTTATGCACCTGGTGTGGTTCTGGATAAAGTGCATATGAGTGCTCCTGTGTCTCGTGAGTGTGTCTCTCCCCAGTTTGACTGACTAACCCGTCGTCTCATTGGACGTCCTCTCCCTTTCCCCCACCATCATGGCGCGCCACATCATGGCGTGCATGGCATGTGATGGCATGATACATGAATGCATGGCACATGACGGCATGGCAGGAAGATGCAGGGGCTGGTGTCGCAGTCGTCTGCCTCCTCTAACCTGCTGGCTGAGCTCGAATCCGTCTCAGAGGACTACGAACTCGACGACAACGACGCCCCCCAGTGCGTGCTCCATGCATGCATGCCTCTCCTTGCTGCACATGCCTTGCTCTGCCATGCCTTTGCATGTTCCCCACACCTCTGCCTCCTCCATCCTGTTCCCTGAGCCCAACTCCCAGTTCTTCTGTGCTCGCCTCTCACCCAGGCCCAGCAGTAGCAGCAAGGCGAGCAGCAACACATGAAGCAGCGGCAGCGGCAGCAGCAGCAGTAGCGGCAGCGGCAACAGCTCTTTGCTGCGGGAGATGAGTGACTCGTTTGACGATGCGGTGCTGGGGCAGCTGGGCATGGCTAGGACCAACCTGTTGCCTGAGTCCAACTCCCCTTTCTTCCCTGCCCTCCCCCAGGCCCAGCAGCAGCAGCAGCACGAGAACCAGCGGCAGCAACACAAGAACCACCACCACCAGCAGCAGCAGCGGCAGTGGGAACAGCTCGCTGCTGCGGGAGATGAGTGACTCGTTCGATGATGCGGTGCTGGGGCAGCTGGGCATGGCCAGGACCAACCTGCCCTGCGACATCCCTGGAGGGGAAGAGATCTTCCGATTGGTTAGTCAGTTGCTGCTGCTTCCTGCTAGCTAGCTTGTTGTGTTCAGAGCGAGTCTGACTGCAGTGACTCGTTTCACGATGCGGTGCTGGGGCAGCTGGGCATGGCCAGGACCAACCTGCCCTGCGACATTCCCGGAGGGGAAGAGATCTTCCGATTGGTCAGCTTGCTTTTATCTTGCCTGTTGTGTTCATAGCGAGTCTGTTTATAGCGAGTCTGGGCATGGCCGCATGGCTAGGACCAACCTGCCCCGCGACATCCCCGGAGGGGAGAAGATCTTCCGACCGGTTAGTCAGCTGCTGCTTCCAGCGAGTCTGTTGTGTCCAGAGCGAGTCTTATTGCAGCAAGCCTGTGCTTCGTCTCACTCTTTCGTCTTCCCTGCCCCACCCACGTTCCTGCTCCCTTCTCGTCCTCTCTCTTTAACAACTCGGCAAACAGAGCTGCTTGTTGAGTCGACTGAAACCCCTTCCCCCGCTTTCCCACCCCTTTCCCCGCCCTCCTGTTCCTCTCCTCTCTGTTGTCGACCTCTCTCTCGCAGATGACTCGACTCACAGAACTGCAGGCGAGGACCCTCTGGGCAGTGGAGCTGGACCACGTTGTCAGGGTGGGTGGGGTGAGGTTGAGGGCAATTGGGAGGTGCGTGGATGGGCTTAGAGCAGGTGGCAGGAGGGTAGGTGTGAGACTATGGTGACAGGGGTAGACGGGTCAACATAACTGCAGGCGAGGGCCCTCTGGGCAGTGGAGCTGGACCACGTTGTCAGGGTGGGTGGGACGAGGGCGTATGGGAGGAGGGCGGGTGGGAGGGGGCTGAATGGGAGGAGGGTAGGTGTGACTGTAGTGACAGGGGCGATCAACAGAGAGCTACAGGCGAGGGCCCTCTGGGCAGTGGAGCTGGACCACGTTGTCAGGGTGGGTGGGCTGAGGGCGGGTGTGAGTGAGGAGGGTTGACGGTAGGAGGGTAGGTAGGCTTCTGTGACCGGGGGAAACGGTTCACAATATAGCTGCAGTGCAGGCGAGGACCCTCTGGGCAGTGGAGCTGGACCACGTTGTCAGGGTGGGTGGGGTTAGGGTGGGCGGCATGAGGGTGGGTGGGATCAGGGGTGGTTCTGTTCGGATTAGGGTGGGCGGGATTATCTTGGGAGGGAGTGTCTCAGTGAATTTTTACAGAGGTGATTGTAACGAAAGCTCTCAACCTCCCCCTTCCCTGACTCCCCCACACACACCATCAGATCCTCGTGCTAACCATCTTCATGATCCGTGACCGCGTGCTCTCAGTGTTTGGCATCGACGCCCACTCGGATGAGATCACGCAATTCAACCTTTCCTTTCCCCTCCCTCTCCATCCCATCAGATCCTCGTGCTCACCATCTTCATGATCCGAGACCGTGTACTCCCTGTCTTTGGCATCAACGCACACTCGGATGAGAGTGTGTCGGAGAACACTCTCCCCTTCAGTCCTCCAACTTTCTCCTCCTCTCCCCTCCCTCCCCCCATGCCTCCCCCGCTCCCCCACACCCCAGATCCTCGTGCTAACCATCTTCATGATCCGAGACCGTGTGCTCTCTGTCTTCGGCATCGATGCTCATTCGGATGAGAGCGTGTCAGAGAACGAGACACTGGGTTCAGCGGGCCTGGCGTTGCGCTATGCGCGCATCATCCTGCTCGCAGAGAAGCTCATGAAGTACCCCTTCATGGCTGCTGGCGGCACCACCAGGTAGCCCTTTTGCTCGCTCTCCTTCCCTCCTTGACTGGCTGTGGGGCATGGAGGTAGTGGGGCATGGAGAGGGAATGTGTGTGGGCCATGAGAGTGCCTGGCGCTGCGCTATGCGCGCATCATACTGCTCGCAGAGAAGCTCATGAAGTACCCCTTCATGGCTGCTGGCGGCACCACCAGGTATGTGACTATAACGAGGATAGTTCAACTAGATGCTTCACAACAGCTCACCACTGTCCTTGTGGTTGGCCTTCAAGTCAATTGAAGAAACTAACCTCCTGCTCCCTACGGGAACCTACCCCCCTTCCCCCGTCCTTCCCCCACGCCCACACAGGGACGAGCTGTTTGGCATGCCGACCAACGCCCAACGACGTGCCCACAGTGCTGCCCGTTGGACCGTTGAATGGCCTGGCAAGTATCTTTCCTCTCCTCCCCATCCGTTCCCCCTACCCGCCTCTCCCCACCAGGGACGAGCTGTTTGGCATGCTGACCAACGGCACACGCTCCATGCTAGCTGGCCGTTGTTTGAATCAATCGAAGAGACCCCCTCGTCCCTCTCCCCGTCTCACTGCCTCCCTTCTCCCTGTCCCCCTTGCCCCCCACCAGGGACGAGCTGTTTGGCATGCTGACCAACGGCACACGCTCCATGCTAGCTGGCCGTTGTTTGAATCAACCGAAGAGACCCCCTCGTCCCTCTCCCCGTCTCACTGCCTCCCTTCTCCCTGTCCCCCTTGCCCCCCACCAGGGACGAGCTGTTTGGCATGCTGACCAACGGCACACGCTCCATGCTAGCTGGCCGTTGTTTGAATCAACCGAAGAGACCCCCTCGTCCCTCTCCCCGTCTCACTGCCTCCCTTCTCCCTGTCCCCCTTGCCCCCCACCAGGGACGAGCTGTTTGGCATGCTGACCAACGGCACACGCTCCATGCTAGCTGGCCGTTGTTTGAATCAACCGAAGAGACCCCCTCGTCCCTCTCCCCGTCTCACTGCCTCCCTTCTCCCTGTCCCCCTTGCCCCCCACCAGGGACGAGCTGTTTGGCATGCTGACCAACGGCACACGCTCCATGCTAGCTGGCCGTTGTTTGAATCAACCGAAGAGACCCCCTCGTCCCTCTCCCCGTCTCACTGCCTCCCTTCTCCCTGTCCCCCTTGCCCCCCAGGGACGAGCTGTTTGGCATGCTGACCAACGGCACACGCTCCATGCTAGCTGGCCGTTGTTTGAATCAACCGAAGAGACCCCCTCGTCCCTCTCCCCGTCTCACTGCCTCCCTTCTCCCTGTCCCCCTTGCCCCCCACCAGGGACGAGCTGTTTGGCATGCTGACCAACGGCACACGCTCCATGCTAGCTGGCCGTTGTTTGAATCAACCGAAGAGACCCCCTCGTCCCTCTCCCCGTCTCACTGCCTCCCTTCTCCCTGTCCCCCTTGCCCCCCACCAGGGACGAGCTGTTTGGCATGCTGACCAACGGCACACGCTCCATGCTAGCTGGCCGTTGTTTGAATCAACCGAAGAGACCCCCTCGTCCCTCTCCCCGTCTCACTGCCTCCCTTCTCCCTGTCCCCCTTGCCCCCCAGGGACGAGCTGTTTGGCATGCTGACCAACGGCACACGCTCCATGCTAGCTGGCCGTTGTTTGAATCAACCGAAGAGACCCCCTCGTCCCTCTCCCCGTCTCACTGCCTCCCTTCTCCCTGTCCCCCTTGCCCCCCACCAGGGACGAGCTGTTTGGCATGCTGACCAACGGCACACGCTCCATGCTAGCTGGCCGTTGTTTGAATCAACCGAAGAGACCCCCTCGTCCCTCTCCCCGTCTCACTGCCTCCCTTCTCCCTGTCCCCCTTGCCCCCCACCAGGGACGAGCTGTTTGGCATGCTGACCAACGGCACACGCTCCATGCTAGCTGGCCGTTGTTTGAATCAACCGAAGAGACCCCCTCGTCCCTCTCCCCGTCTCACTGCCTCCCTTCTCCCTGTCCCCCTTGCCCCCCACCAGGGACGAGCTGTTTGGCATGCTGACCAACGGCACACGCTCCATGCTAGCTGGCCGTTGTTTGAATCAACCGAAGAGACCCCCTCGTCCCTCTCCCCGTCTCACTGCCTCCCTTCTCCCTGTCCCCCTTGCCCCCCACCAGGGACGAGCTGTTTGGCATGCTGACCAACGGCACACGCTCCATGCTAGCTGGCCGTTGTTTGAATCAACCGAAGAGACCCCCTCGTCCCTCTCCCCGTCTCACTGCCTCCCTTCTCCCTGTCCCCCTTGCCCCCCACCAGGGACGAGCTGTTTGGCATGCTGACCAACGGCACACGCTCCATGCTAGCTGGCCGTTGTTTGAATCAACCGAAGAGACCCCCTCGTCCCTCTCCCCGTCTCACTGCCTCCCTTCTCCCTGTCCCCCTTGCCCCCCAGGGACGAGCTGTTTGGCATGCTGACCAACGGCACACGCTCCATGCTAGCTGGCCGTTGTTTGAATCAACCGAAGAGACCCCCTCGTCCCTCTCCCCGTCTCACTGCCTCCCTTCTCCCTGTCCCCCTTGCCCCCCACCAGGGACGAGCTGTTTGGCATGCTGACCAACGGCACACGCTCCATGCTAGCTGGCCGTTGTTTGAATCAACCGAAGAGACCCCCTCGTCCCTCTCCCCGTCTCACTGCCTCCCTTCTCCCTGTCCCCCTTGCCCCCCACCAGGGACGAGCTGTTTGGCATGCTGACCAACGGCACACGCTCCATGCTAGCTGGCCGTTGTTTGAATCAACCGAAGAGACCCCCTCGTCCCTCTCCCCGTCTCACTGCCTCCCTTCTCCCTGTCCCCCTTGCCCCCCAGGGACGAGCTGTTTGGCATGCTGACCAACGGCACACGCTCCATGCTAGCTGGCCGTTGTTTGAATCAACCGAAGAGACCCCCTCGTCCCTCTCCCCGTCTCACTGCCTCCCTTCTCCCTGTCCCCCTTGCCCCCCACCAGGGACGAGCTGTTTGGCATGCTGACCAACGGCACACGCTCCATGCTAGCTGGCCGTTGTTTGAATCAACCGAAGAGACCCCCTCGTCCCTCTCCCCGTCTCACTGCCTCCCTTCTCCCTGTCCCCCTTGCCCCCCACCAGGGACGAGCTGTTTGGCATGCTGACCAACGGCACACGCTCCATGCTAGCTGGCCGTTGTTTGAATCAACCGAAGAGACCCCCTCGTCCCTCTCCCCGTCTCACTGCCTCCCTTCTCCCTGTCCCCCTTGCCCCCCACCAGGGACGAGCTGTTTGGCATGCTGACCAACGGCACACGCTCCATGCTAGCTGGCCGTTGTTTGAATCAACCGAAGAGACCCCCTCGTCCCTCTCCCCGTCTCACTGCCTCCCTTCTCCCTGTCCCCCTTGCCCCCCACCAGGGACGAGCTGTTTGGCATGCTGACCAACGGCACACGCTCCATGCTAGCTGGCCGTTGTTTGAATCAACCGAAGAGACCCCCTCGTCCCTCTCCCCGTCTCACTGCCTCCCTTCTCCCTGTCCCCCTTGCCCCCCAGGGACGAGCTGTTTGGCATGCTGACCAACGGCACACGCTCCATGCTAGCTGGCCGTTGTTTGAATCAACCGAAGAGACCCCCTCGTCCCTCTCCCCGTCTCACTGCCTCCCTTCTCCCTGTCCCCCTTGCCCCCCACCAGGGACGAGCTGTTTGGCATGCTGACCAACGGCACACGCTCCATGCTAGCTGGCCGTTGTTTGAATCAACCGAAGAGACCCCCTCGTCCCTCTCCCCGTCTCACTGCCTCCCTTCTCCCTGTCCCCCTTGCCCCCCACCAGGGACGAGCTGTTTGGCATGCTGACCAACGGCACACGCTCCATGCTAGCTGGCCGTTGTTTGAATCAACCGAAGAGACCCCCTCGTCCCTCTCCCCGTCTCACTGCCTCCCTTCTCCCTGTCCCCCTTGCCCCCCAGGGACGAGCTGTTTGGCATGCTGACCAACGGCACACGCTCCATGCTAGCTGGCCGTTGTTTGAATCAACCGAAGAGACCCCCTCGTCCCTCTCCCCGTCTCACTGCCTCCCTTCTCCCTGTCCCCCTTGCCCCCCACCAGGGACGAGCTGTTTGGCATGCTGACCAACGGCACACGCTCCATGCTAGCTGGCCGTTGTTTGAATCAACCGAAGAGACCCCCTCGTCCCTCTCCCCGTCTCACTGCCTCCCTTCTCCCTGTCCCCCTTGCCCCCCACCAGGGACGAGCTGTTTGGCATGCTGACCAACGGCACACGCTCCATGCTAGCTGGCCGTTGTTTGAATCAACCGAAGAGACCCCCTCGTCCCTCTCCCCGTCTCACTGCCTCCCTTCTCCCTGTCCCCCTTGCCCCCCACCAGGGACGAGCTGTTTGGCATGCTGACCAACGGCACACGCTCCATGCTAGCTGGCCGTTGTTTGAATCAACCGAAGAGACCCCCTCGTCCCTCTCCCCGTCTCACTGCCTCCCTTCTCCCTGTCCCCCTTGCCCCCCAGGGACGAGCTGTTTGGCATGCTGACCAACGGCACACGCTCCATGCTAGCTGGCCGTTGTTTGAATCAACCGAAGAGACCCCCTCGTCCCTCTCCCCGTCTCACTGCCTCCCTTCTCCCTGTCCCCCTTGCCCCCCACCAGGGACGAGCTGTTTGGCATGCTGACCAACGGCACACGCTCCATGCTAGCTGGCCGTTGTTTGAATCAACCGAAGAGACCCCCTCGTCCCTCTCCCCGTCTCACTGCCTCCCTTCTCCCTGTCCCCCTTGCCCCCCACCAGGGACGAGCTGTTTGGCATGCTGACCAACGGCACACGCTCCATGCTAGCCGGCCGCCTGGTCCTCCGAACCCCTCTCCCTGCCTCAAACTCCACCCGCCCCCTCGCTACCCACACAGGGACGAGCTGTTTGGCATGCTGACCAACGACGTGCGCACCATCCTAGCAGGCCACCTCAACCTTCCAATCCAACCCCCCTCCCTGCCCCAAAACCCAACACACACCCACCCTTCCCCCCCCCCCCCCCCCTCCCCACTCCCCCCCTCGCTACCCACACAGGGACGAGCTGTTTGGCATGCTGACGAACGATATGCGCACCATCCTAGCAGGCCGCCTGGTCCCAGTCATGAAGGAGGAGCAGCAGAAGCGCGAGCAGGAGGAGGAGGCTCGGCGCCGAGCCGGCCTCCCCCGAGCCGCCTCCTCAGACTCGGACGAAGACGAGGACGGATTCGTGTGGCTCGGGAACAAGGGGGGAGCAGCGGGAGGAGGGGGCGCAGCAGGGAAGGGCGGAGGGCAGGCAGGGAAGGGAGGGAAGGACGGAGAAGACGAGGAGGAGGCGGAAGCACCGTGGGAGCGGAAGCTCAAGTGGGGAATGGAGTTTCTACCCACACTCGCTCGCAACACCATCACCTTTTCGGAGCTCAATTCCATCCGGAAAACGTCTGTCACATCAAGCAACCACGTGCTGAGAGTTCAAACGCTCTTCCACGCGCAAAAGGACGCCGTCAGTGCCACCCTAATCGACTCCTTAGAAGGCCTCTCGCTCCTCGTCGCATCTGATCCGTCCAATACCACGCAGATCCGATCGAAGAAAGCCGCTGCGCTGGCGGCTGCAAGGGCAGAGAAAGCCCAGGCGAAGTCGGGCGAGCCGCGGCAAGTGCTTGTAACGGGGATATTTAAAGCGAAGCGGACGACGAGCTGTAGCCCCACGGACGGGATTGGCAGCTCGCCGCTGCTGCTCACCCAGTCGTCTCTCTCCTCCTCCCTCCTCTCCTCTTCCTCCTCCTCTGTTGCCCCCTCTGCGTCCCCCTTTAGGTCATCTTCTGCCTCTGCTGCTGTCCTGGCTGCTGCGATCGGGGGAGACGGGAGGGACTCTGCTGCAGCTGCTCTGCGGGCGATAAGAGGAGGGGGAGGGGGAGGAGGGGGGAAAGGAGGGGGGGTTTTGAAAATGCCTTTTGTTAAAGGAGGTAAGCAGGCGGGCGTTAAGGGTGGTGCTGCAGCGCCTGCTGTGAAAAGCGCTGGTGGTGGGGCTGGTGGTGGGGTTTGTGCGGGGAAGGTTCCAGGAAAGGTGAAGCCGCTGTGGGAAGAGGATACAGACGAGCAAGACCTCGTGAGATCCGTTCTGTCGACGTGCCAGGAGGAGAGAGATGGGGGCGAGAAGAGCGCAGCGGGGAGAAGAGAGCAGGTGCGGGCGAGGGAGACAGGAGGCAGGATGATGATGCGTGGAGGGTCGGAGAAAGAGAGGAAAGGAAAACCTGTGAAACCCTTGTGGGAAGAGGATACAGACGATGAGGATTTAGTGAGGTCTGTGACTCTACCTGTGAGGAAGGACGGGGTTGGGAGCAAGGGAGGGCAGGAGGGGGCCGGAGAGGACGGACGGAAGAAGAAAATGCTCTGGGAGGAGGATTCCGATGATGAGTCACTGGTTCGCGCGGTAACCGCATCTGCTACCACCGTTGCTGCAGCTGTTACAGCTGCTGGGGTGGGCGTGGTAACCAGAGGGACTGGGGGGGCTGCAGGTGCTGGTGGGGGAGGGAGAGGTGCAGGTGGGGGGGGTAGAGGTGCTACTGGTGGGGGTAGAGGGGCTGTGGGGGGAGGGAGAGGGGCTGGCGGGGGGCAGAAGAAGGTGCAGCCTCTGTGGGAGGAAGACTCTGATGATGAGAGTCTGGTTCGTGCTGTCACCGCTGCTTCTGCTGCCCCTGCCGGTGGCAGTGCTGTGGGCAATGCTGCTGCGGGGCCCAATGTTGGCGGCTTGCGCTCGTCGGTGCAGCCGGTGACGCCGCGAGGAGCTCGTATGCAGCGCTTGGACGCGGCAAAATGGGCAGACGAGCGAGGGGGGCGGGAAGGGCGAGAGGGGCGAGAGGGGGGGGAGCGGGGAGATGGGCGGGACGGAAGAGAGGGACGAGATGGGGGCGACAGGCGAGACGTTCGCATGCAGCGATTGGATGCAGCGAAATGGGCAGACGGGCGAGAGGGGGGCGGTGGGGCCGGTGGGCGGGAGAGGAGGGACGGGCCTGACGGGCAGGAACGGCGAGACGCTCGCATGCAGCGATTGGGCGCGGCGAAATGGGCAGACGGACGAGACGGAAGAGATGGGAGAGATGGGAGAGATAGGCAAGAGGGGAAAGCAAGTGGAAGAGGGGGAGGGGGAGGGGGAGGGGGAGGGGGGGGAGCAACGGGAGGGAGAGGAGGAGCGAAGGCTCGGCCGTTGTGGGAGGAGAATGCGGAGGATGAGGACATGGTGAGGGCCGTTGCTGTGCCCACCCCCCGCGCTGCCACCCCCCCTCCCCGCTCTGCCACCCCCCCTCCTGTGGTACCAATAGCCTCTGGTCGGGGAGCGGGAGGGAGGGCGGACGCGGGAATGGGAGGGAGGGTGGAGGAGAGGGCAGGTAGGAGGGTGGAAGGGAGAGGTGCGGGAAGGGATGGGAGGAGGGAAGAGGGGGCGGAGGAGGGGATGGAGGTTGGGAGAAAGGGAAGAGCGGAATATATGCGTTTGGCAGAAGAGGGAGAGGGTTGGGAGGAAGGGGAGGAGGAGTGGGATGAGGAAGAGGAATGGGAGGAGGGAGAGGAGGAATGGGAAGGGGAAGAGGGAGAGGAGGAATGGGAAGGGGAGGAGGAAGAGGAGGAACATAATGAGCCGGCTGTGAGGGCCGCGCAGGTGAGCAGAAAGGAGGGAACGGGCGGGGTCAAGCAGCAAATGACACCGCAGGATGAATGGCAGAGGCGGCAAGCGGAGCAGGAGGCATGGGAGCAAGAGCAACTGGAGCAGGAAAAGTGGGAGCAGGAGCACCAGAATGAGCAGCAGAGGCAGGTGCAGAAGCCAAAGCAGCAAGTGACTTGGGACCAGCATCACTCACAGGAGGACGGTGAGGAGGAATATGAAGGAGAGGAGTATGAAGGAGAGGAGGAGGAGTATGCAGAAGAGGAGGAAGAAGAGGAAGAGCCGGTGGTGCCTGTCAGAGCCATGGCCCGAGCAGCCACCGCACCCACATCTCGCCTCGATAAAATGTCCAAGTCAGCGGGTGCTGATGCTGGGGGGAAGAAGAAGAGCAGTAAGAAGGCTGCGCTGCATCGGGTGGCATCTGAATCCACCACTTCTGACCTCTATGCACCCAGCCAGAAGGCACGGGGAGCAGGGGGGCTTGCTCCTGGTTTGTATGAGGGGCCTCAGAAGTCGCCTGGTGTGGGGCGGCAGCAGCGGCAGATGCATGTTCACTGGGACGAGAGCGTGGGCGCTGGTAGAGGGGAGCGAGGAGAGAGAGGGGAGAGATGGGAGGGCGAAGCGGAGGAGGGGCAGTGGCTGGTTGCGGGTTCCGCGTCGGAATCGGCTGCTTCGGGAAAGGAAGGCAAGAAGGGGAAAGGTGGGAAGAAAGGGACCCAGCAGGGAAATCCTGATGGGGAGAAGGGGGAGAGGGCAGCAGGAGAGGGAGGAACAGGAAAGAAGAAGCAAAACGGGGAAGCAAAGAAGGCTGGGAAGAAGGTTTCAAAGAAGGGTGTAGCGCAGCAGGGGGGTGCGGGAGCGGAGGAGGAGGAGGATGGGCTAGGAAGGACTGTAAGTGCAGCTTCTTCCGCCTCCCGCTCGTCCTCTGGCACATCCTCATCGCCTGCTAAGGGCGAGAGGCGGAAAGCGGGGGAGAAGGAGAGCGGGAAGAAGAGTGGGAAGAAGGCGGGGCAGACCGCCCAGCCGCAGGTGGCAGTGTGGGAGGGGGACGAGGAGGAGGAGGGGCTGTTTAGGGCTGGATCTTCTGCTGCTGCTGCTGCTGCTGGGGGGAAGGAGAAGGCTGGTAAGAAGAAGGAGAGAGACGCGAAGAAGAAGCAGCAGGAGCTGCAGGAGCAGCAGGAGCGGCAGGAGCGGCAGCGGCAGCAGGAGTTGCAGGAAGAGTTGCAGCGGCAGCTGCAACAGGAGAAGCGGCAGCGAGAGGAGGAGGAGGCGGAGGAGGAGCGGCAATGGCAGCTGCAGCAGCAGTTGCTGCAGCAGCAGGAGCAGGAGAGGCGAATAGCAGCAGCAGCCAGTAGGAAGGGTCGAGCAGGGGCTGGGAACACAGACCGTGCGTCTTCTCCTGCCTCTGCTTCCCGCTCATCCCACTCCCCCTCGCCCTCTTCTCGCACTGCCAACACCAGCACTCGCCCTCAAGCAAGCCGCTATGCAGGCTTGCAAGAAAGGTACGAGGAAGAGGAGGAAGAGGAGGAGGAGGAGGACGAGGAGGAGGAGGAAGAAGAGTATGAAGAGGAGGTGGAGAGTGAGAGATACAGAGGGAGGATGGAGGAAGGGAGTATAGATTTCGATGCCTCTCACCAGGAACTCGCCTTTGGGGCGGGGCAAGGAAGGCAGGAGCAGAGAGGAGTGGTAGGGGGAGGCAGTTTGGACTTTGATGCTCCCCAGCATGAGCTGCCCTCTCCCTCTCAAATGCCATCCGGAGGGCTGTTTGCGGCACGGCAGCAACAGTGGCAGCAGCAGCAGCAGCGGCAGCAGCAACAACAACAGCCACAGCAGCAGCAGCAGAAGCAGCAGCAGAAGCAGAAGCAACAGCAGCAGGCAGCACCGTCGGCATCACGAAACCAGTATTACGATGACGAGGATGAATACGAAGGTAACGCACATGATGAGTATGGTGGTGCTGCTGGTGGCCGGGACAATGGCAGGGGCGACGGCAGGGGCGGATGGGACCATGATTACGAATACGAAGAGGAGGAGGAAGTTTTGAAGGGAGAGGATGAGGAGGAGTGGGACGAGGAGGCGGAAGAGGAACTGTACAGCCAAGGAGCGGGCAGAGAAGCAACGGGAGCAGGTGGAGCCATTACGTCTCTATCGCCCTCTGCTGCTGCCTTCTACCTTGCCACTACCTCCTCCTTTGACCACGAAGACCCGGTTGACTCCTCCTCCCCAGACACCTCCTCTGGCTTCCCCCCTCCAAAACCATCCCCCCGGCAAGCCCCCCGCTCACCCTCCTCTGCTTACGCCTCACTTCCCTCTTCCTCTCCAACCGACGCTGCTCCTGCTGCTGCTGGTGGTGCTGCTGCTGGTGGTGGAGCAGGGAAGAAGGAACGGTCAAAGTCCCCTCTGGCTCGGCTAAAGCGCTCCCTCTCCCCTCTCTCTCGCAGGCACGCCTCCCCTGGTAAATCAGGATCAGCAGGTAATAGCACTGCTGCAGCAGCAGCTGCTGCAGTGGCTGCTGCCGGTGGTAGCAGCATGGGTTCTTTCTCAGAGCTACAGTCCCAACCGAGCCTGTCGTCAGGGTCGATCAGCAGCTCGCCGAGCCAGTCCATGGATCGGCAATCCCCGAGCCTGATGATGCTGGATCGGGTCTCCCCAACCAACTCAATGGAGAGAAGGAACCCGCAGGAGCGGGGTGGTTTGGATCGGGACCGAGGGTCAATGGAACGAAATTCCATGGAAAGGCGATTGTTTGACCGCCACTCCTCCTCCCCTTCCCATGACCGAATCTGGTCTCCCCGTCACTCCTCTGGGATGGGTCAACAGCAGCAGCAGGCGGAGGGGTCGGCCTCGCCTGACCTCTCTGCTTCTCCTGACATTCATGCAGACGGCAGGTCTATTGGAAGGGAGGGTGGTTCGAGCTTCCGATCCTCACTTGCTGCGGTGCTGATGTCACCTCCGATCCTGCGCGGCGGCGCCGGGGGCAGCGCCTTCCCAACGTCCAACTCAGCCTCGGAAGCCTCGTCCCGGCACCCGCACAAGGGCGGGAAAGTTCTCCCGAACCTGCTCCGGCTGAACCTGAAAAAAGACAAGGGAGAGGGACATAGGGAGGGGAGAGAGGGGCGGGATAATCAACCCGGCACCCCACCCTCCCCGTTGCTAGAGCATGTGCTGAAAGGCTATCCCATGAGTAACTATGATGGAATACCAAGGGGTTTGTCCGAGGATTCATCTGTTCAAAGGTATGTGAGAGGCGGTGAGGGGAGTGAGGGCAGCAGCAGCGGGCGGCTGAGTGGGGAGGATCCGAGAGAGTGGGAGGAGGGCAGGAGGGGATTCGATGCGAGGGGGAGTAACAGGGAAAGGGTTGACTCTGGGGATGCTATTCGCAAAACGAGCTCGTATGAGAGGAGTGGGGCACGGAGCGAGGAATCAGGGGTGGGTGCCACTGCCAGGGGTGGGATTCGATCTCCGATCCTCAAGCCAGCTTCAACTGAAGAGGAGGCGTTTTTTGAGCGGGCAAGGCAGGAGGAGGAGCGATTAGCACGAGAGAGGGGTGGCAGTGGAGGGGGAGGTGGGGAAGCAGGGACGGGTAACGATTCTTGGTCGCGGGACGAAGACACAGCGGCACCGGCTTTAAGCCCTCTGAAATATGCACCGAGTGCTTTCAGTAGGAGGATCAGAGGTAGGGGCAGGGGAGGAATTGGGGGGAGGGGAGCGCCCCCTCTTTCTCCTGTGGGTTCTGTAGCTACTGGTGCTGGTGCTGGCGCTGGTGGTGGGGCTGGTTTAGCCACCAACATCAGCAGTGCCAGCAGCACCAGCACCGGCACCAGCAGCGGCACAGACACCAGCGGAAGCAGCAGCAGCAGCAGCAGTATTGGCATAGGCAGCAGCGGCAGCAACAGCAGCAGTGTTAGCGCTGCCGGGGGTGAGATGGCTGGGGGGTACGGGGATGGGAATGTGGGGGGGATAGGAGCGGGGTCGGGTGGTGGGGTGGGGAGAGGAGGGTTCGGCGGGGGGCGTGGTAGGATGAACAGCAGGAGGCGTAGCATTGTGAATGCGAGGCTCCATGCTCAGAGGGAGGGGGGCGGAGCGGGAGGGAATGGAGAGGGTGGGGAGGGGGAGGGTGAGAAGCCTGAATTTGAGTTTCAGGGTATGGGGGGGAGACGAGCAGTGAGGAAAGTAGCTCCTCCGATTGCGGAGGGGGAGGAAGGGGGGAGGAAGGGAGAGGAGAGTGAGGAGGAAGAGGACGAGGAGGGAGTGTGGCAGAGAAACGACCCAATCCAAGCGTTTTGAGACAGAATGGTGCAGTGTAGACGTCTTGAGGTAATGACACATCCGAAATTAATTATATCAAGCTGCAAAAGAAATGTGTTTTGCCGAGGAGATGGAGTGATTGGCATGGCGGAGTTCGCGATTCGGTATTAAATTTGCATCGGTCCTGAGCGACGCTGAAACGCATATTGGCGGTGGATGAATGTTGGTAGATTGGTGTGAGGAAGCCGGGGATTGCTGGTGTGGTTGGGATTTTTAGGAAGGGCAACTGAGTTGGAGAATTCCTTCCTGGCAGCTCAGTCATAGAGTCCCTGCCAGGGACCATTTGTAAAGCTGTTCCCTTATTGAGATCCCCTTTTGTCATACCGTATACCCTGGTTCTACCCTTCAAACATGCAACCAAAGGGTAGTACACGCATGTAGTTTTTACATTGGCTTGCAACTCAAGTCTCACCCAATTCCCAAGGTTTCCCGCCACACGAGTCAAACCATTTCGAAAGGGCGACAGCCATATCCTTCTCGGTTCAGGATACCGATGCTAACACATTAACCGGTTCATGCTGTATCGAGTGTGAAGTATGAGAACAATCATCAGCACCATGCTCGAGTTTCTCATTTTCAAGTTTCAGCCATTCCGCAGCAATCCCAGGTTTGCTGATCACACATCAGCAGAGGGTCGGTATTCCCAAGGCCGAGCTGCGATTGCGATTCGCACGCACGGGTCGCTGCTTGCCACGTGGGAAGTCCAAGGGGTTTCCGTTGGAATATTGTGTTTCTCTACTCGGTGATCGCACCTACCCCTTTCGCTGCTGCCACGTCAGCGCTGAAAATGGCGACAATGACGTCAGCCCACAGAGGCCTTACAGCGCTTCCTGCTGCGCAAAGCGCGGGTGCTGGTGAAGTCTCTCGTCGTCCACGTGTCGTTTCAGCCGCATTCGGCGGTGCAAAGGAGATTAAGTCGACCTCGTCGAGTCTGGTAGGACGGCCGCTTTCACTGGCTGTTTCCCGCGCTAGCAGCGGCCACAGACGAGGCGGTGCGTTGGCGACAACGTGCTCGTCGCAGAGCGTTTCGGAGAAGTTCGCAGAGCTTCGCGCGAAGAATGAAGTGAGTAGACAGTTTCGCAGTTTGACGAGGGTTTCGGGTATAGTCACCTCGCTTTACCAAAACGGTCAGTTTGACTACCTCAATTGCAACTGGCTGTTTCGATATAGGGTGGAATTGATTTCTTTTCGCCATTCCACTTGGTGCCATCTATCTACGTCTTGGACGCAGCGCGCTTTGAGCTTTTAACTCCGTTCCTTTCGACTTGACCCTCTCCCAATCAACCCACCCGTTCCTCAACTCCTCCCACCTTCCTGTCCATTTTTCTCTTCCCCATTATAGTCGCTGGGAACCCCGCTATAAGCACCACGTAGCGCATTGGTCGCACGAGCCCCTCAGCCCGCATTTGCTGTCCACCCGCACCCGCTCCCCCGCACCCGCTCCCCCGCAGGTGGCGCTGATCCCCTTTATAGTGGCGGGGGACCCCGATCTGGGCACCACGGAGCGCATTGGTCGAACCAGCCCCTCATTCCGTACTTTCTTTTCACTCGCTCCCCCACTCCCGCTCCCCCGCAGGTGGCGCTGATCCCCTTTATAGTGGCGGGGGACCCCGATCTGGCCACCACGGAGCGCGCGCTGAAGCTGCTGTGCGAAACGGGCGCTGACGTCATCGAGCTGGGCGTGCCTTACTCGGACCCGCTTGCTGACGGGCCCGTTATCCAGGTACACTCCGTCCTCCTTATTAGCAGCTCACCAGGTAACTGCAACGTGGCATGAATGTATCAATATGAATGTCCAGGTGGCTTAGGGAACTTCGTGCTCGTGCAAGAAAGGAATCACAACAGGGACCAAATGGCAACCTTCCGAGCGTAAATATACTTTTTGTGTTTGTGTGCTTGTTTGTTTCTTCTTGTATCACATCACATCACATCACATCACATCACATCACATCACATCACATCACATCACATCACAGGCATCTGCCACCCGAGCCCTGGCAAACCACACGGATCTGCAGTCTGTCATCGACCTCCTCAAACGGGTATGCTGCCCCTCCCTCTCAACCTTACTCCCACCCCCCCCCCCCCCCCCCCCCCCCCCTTAACACCCTCCCCGTTTCCGTCCTCCTCCGGCTCACTCAGCCATTCCCCCCTCCAACTCACTCCGGCGACTTTTGAGTCGACGCAAAAGTCACCTCACTCAGCCATTCCCCCCTCCAACTCACTCCGGCCATCCCCACATTCCCTTCGCCTTCTATTTGACTCTCGTCTATATGATCTGTCTGTCTGCCCCATTCTCTTCTCACCAGGCCACTTCTCATCTGCTGCACCTACCTCAAGGTGACTTTTGAGTCGACTCAAAAGTCGCCTCCTCCTATTTGACTCTCGTCTATATGATCTGTCTGTCTGCCCCATACTCAACGGGCCACTTCTCGTCTGCACCTACCTCAAGCCATCATGAAACGTCGCGCCAACAAGCGGCTCCTTTTCCCGCTGCCTCCCCCTCGCCCTTCCACGGCCCCACCGCCAGGTCACCCCCTCCCTGAGCGCGCCCATAGTCCTGTTCACCTACCACAACCCCATCATGAAGCGCGGCGTGAACAAGTGCATGGGGGAGATGAAGCCAACACACCCCCCGTCTTCCCCCCTTGACCCATGTCCCCTCAGGTCACCCCCTCCCTGTCAGCGCCCATAGTCCTGTTCACCTACTACAATCCCATCATGAAGCGCGGCATGAACAAGTGCATGGGGGAGATGAAGCCAACACACCCCCCGTCTTCCCCCCTTGACCCGTGTCCCCTCAGGTCACCCCCTCCCTGTCAGCGCCCATAGTCCTCTTCACCTACTACAATCCCATCATGAAGCGCGGCGTCAACAAGTTCATGGGGGAGATTAAAGCCGCGGGGGCGGCCGGCATAGTGGTGCCGGACGTGCCTCTGGAGGAGACCAAGGTGCTGCGAGAGGTTGCGACGGCTAACGGACTGGAACTGGTGAGCAACTGGTGGTTGGTGTGGCATGTACGAGTGTTGAGGCGTCTGGGAGCTCGAGTATGGTACTGGTGTAGCAGCTGTCATGTCCCATAGTGGTGCCGTACGTGCCACTGGAGCATTCGATTGCTGGTGATCGCCTTGCAATGACATGTTCAGTTGACTAAAATGAAACAGGGAGTTGGAGATGAAGCAGTGGCAGGCACTGCTAACGGCATTCCCCTCTCACTCGCTCTTCACCCTCTTCCTCCCCCCTTCTCTCCCCTCTCCCCCCTCTTCCTCCCCCCTTCTCTCCCCTCTCCCCCCTCTTCCTCCCCCCTTCTCTCCCCTCTCCCCCCTCTTCCTCCCCCTTCTCTCCCCTCTGCCCACAGGTGCTGCTAACAACGCCCACCACCCCCACCGAGAGAATGGGAGCCATTGCTGACGTCACCCAGGGCTTCCTCTACCTTGTAAGCCACTGCCTTGCTGCCGTGCCTTCTAACTCCTCCGCCCCTTCTCTTCTGCCCCTCTTCCTCCGCCCCTTCTCCTCCGCCCCTTCTCCTCCGCCCCTTCTCCTCCGCCCCTTCTCCTCTGCCCCTTCTCCTCCGCCCCTTCTCCTCCACACCTTCTCTTCTGCCCCTCCTCCTCTGCCCCTATTCCTCTGCCCCTCCTCCTCTGCCCCTTCTCCCCTCCCTGAATTATCTTCTCTCCTCAACGACTCCCTCGCCCCCTCGCTTTTGTGTGTGATGTGATGCCTGTCTGGCTCCTCCCTCCCCCCTGATCCAATCTCTTAGTATCCTCCAACATTGATTTTTTAGGCGCCTCAAAACCATGAGTCATGAGACGATTTTTGAGGCGCCTCAAATATGATGCCTGTCTGGTTCCTCCCTCCCCCCTGATCCAATCTCCTAGTATCCTCCAACATTGTTATTTTAGGCGCCTCAAAACCGCGAGTCATGACACGAAATCTTAGACGCCTCAAATATGATGCCTGTCTGGTTCCTCCCTCCTCCCTCATCCAATCTCCTAGTAACCTCCAACATTGCGTAGGCAGCAGACACCCCGTTTAATTTCCATTGCCATTGCATCTGTGCATGTGTGCATCCGTGACTGTGTTTATGTGTGTTCATGCGTGACTGTATCGCAGGTGAGTCTAACGGGAGTTACGGGCGAGCGGGCGGCAGTGCAGGGGCGGGTGGAGCAGCTTCTAAAAGACATCAAGGCCACCACAGACAAGCCTGTCGCTGTGGGATTCGGCATCTCCGCCCCTGAGCACGCTGAGCAGGTGCGTGTGATAAGCAAATGAAGGAATGGAGTGGGTTGACTCAGCAAGCAGTGCAGGGGCGGGTGGAGCAGCTACTAAAGGACATCAAGGTCACCTGCCTCACAGACAAGCCCGTCGCTGTGGGCTCTGGCATCTCTGCCCCTGAGCATGCTGAGCAGGTGCGGCTATGTGATGAATGAG